TGAAACATTAGGTGCTGCCCCCATACAGTAAGAGTCTATAACATGGCTACTATTAAGGTCCTAATATATCTATATTATGAATGTTTTTCAACTATTACTGTATGGGGGCCGTACCCAACTTGCACAATTCAATTGACGGAGTGGAGACAAAATTGCTCCTCGTCGTAGACTCTGCGTATGTGCTCCATTTCATGGGGCAGAAGCGGCGCGACTGCCTCGGTGTCGGCGGCTCAGAATTTCAACAAAATGACTATACGAGATGTGATAGCATTATATAGGGGCCTTAATCATTAGAATAGAGTTATTTTGGGGATACAGTACTATAGTCATAATAAGGGACCACCACAATAGTATTGGTAGTTGTTTAACGGAGCTTCGTGCAAGGAATGGCGTTCGGGGGTGTCGCGTGCCTGAATTTCGAAGACGTACGGAGTGAGCATGCCGTGATGAACTGAAATCCTGCTCTTCAGTACAACCTGTCTAGACACAACCTCTCGTTCGTACCCGCTGGACCCGAGAACACCGTTTCATAGTATGTGTATATGCTTGTTGTAGTCAGTCCCCGAACTGCTCTTTGCGGTGGAGAGCGCCGCAGGTGCTGCAGGCCTTAGGCCCTCGACGCCCATGGCGTCCCGGAGTGTTTGGGGGGCCGTCTTGACCCCCCAGAAGTTTGACGTTCCGTCCTATCCGGTTTTGGCTGTGTCTGGTGCTTTCCGGTGATGGGGCGGGTGGTGAGGACGAGTTGGGCGCAGCCGCCCCGTGTGGTGTTTCCTAGAAACGATGATGTCTACAGTTCCAGGTGTTGGTTTAGGATGGTAGCTCGGAATCCGGGTTCAGGAAGGTTGGGGTTGGGGGTTGAAACATTAGGGCCTATGGTCAGGCTCCACGTAAAGCTGCAAGCCCAGCAGATGTGTGAAGCGCCTCAAGCCACTGCAGGCCACAGCGATGAGTTCCTGCCTGAAAGGAAAGCCGGAAGCCATATTATGCACTGGTGAAGCTGCATCTTTGTGGTTTGAGGCGGGGATTCGAAGCGATAAGGCATGGAATGTACAGAATTCAACAAGGCCACAAAAACCAAATGGAAGCAACCGACAGTTTGCCGAACCGTCCGACGTGCTGCAAGCACAGATGAAGCTTGCTGCTGAAGGCAAGATACTGCCCTGCGCAGGAGCGCAGGCTCCAAGAGTGCATTGAAAGTCTGAGAATAGGATGCCCTGGTCTTCACAGCTTTACACAGTCTGGGTGCGTCCTTAGACGAAGTTGAGCAAGGTTTGCTGACTAGAAGAGCTCTGATACAAGGCGGAACTGCTTGCCACTCGCTCCTCACACCTTGCCCGTGTCCATGTCAAAGGAGTCACGGCCGAGCTGCTCTGATTCCGCTTCTGGACATCGGTCATTGTCATGCTAGCTGCTAACTTCGAAGTGCCCAGAAGTTATCATGTACAACAGAGAACGCGTCCGAGAACGGCCCTGTCTGACACTTTTTCGCTCCGGCTTAGCGGCATCAGGTCAAGCAGGCCACGGTTGCGGCCGTCTAAGACTGAACTGGACCCAGCCAGACTAACGGATTTCTGGCCAGGATATGTAGTAAATGATCTTGACTTTTGTCTGTGGGCGACTGTGGGCCCCCAGGCCGTTCAAAACTGCTGCATGGCTTCTTCCGATCACTTCTTGGTTGCCACGAACATGCCCTGGATGATCTTGCCCTCCTTGGCCAACTTCGCCATGAACTCGAAGTCCGAGATCAGCTTCTCGTACGCCTTCTCGTCCCAGCCCAGGAGCTTCTTGGCATCGTAGACGGCCTGGTACTTCAGCATGTAAGTGTAGCAGTCCATTGCTGGCGAAAAGCGGCCGCTATTCTGGGCTACCTGCACCGTGCAACCGGCCTTCTCCAACATTGCAGCATACTCCTGCACTGTCGGAATGGCTGGGAAGGTCATCAGCCCCAGGAAGCGCTGCGCCTCCTCGTCCGAGAGGTTCTCACCCTCCATCCAGTCGGTGAAGAAGATCTTGCCTCCCGGCTTCACGATGCGAGCAGCCTGGTCCACGATGAGCTGCTTGTCGGGCATGTAGCACCAAGCGTCCTTGCTGTAGACGAAGTCCGCCGAGGCATCCGGAAGGCCGTTCTCCAAGGAGTTCGCGTTGATAAATCTGATCTTCCCATCGAGGCCTTCCTCTGTTGTGCGGACACGGCCGGTCTCCACCACGGACTTCGCTAGGTCGACGCCCACCATCTGATCAACACCGCAGAGGCGCACCAGGCAGCGCATGCCGCCGCCGTTGTTGCAGTTCAGGTCCACACCCTTCATGCCTGGGCCGACGCCGGCTTTTTGAGCAACCTCCATCGTCGAGGAAGCCCCGCCGATGTCGATCTGCTTGCCCATGACGAGCTCCCACACGCTCCTTACGCTCATTCACTCTTGACTCTTGATACTTCAGAAGCCCGTGAAAGCATGCACTGAAGCCTCTTTACTGCGACCATCACGAAAACGGTGCGAAAACGTCATGAAACATCTCCAGGTCTCTGCTCTGAACCATTGTAACACTCCGCGACCTTGTCGAAGCTGGTGGCGCCCTGGTCGGCAAGGAGCTTCATGGCTTCACACCCGCTGGGTCCGTCCTGGGACGACGTCGGAACTATGCGATCGGGCCAAGCTGCTCGAGCCGGACGCACAGCAGCTTTTCGCGCCGCACAAGCTTTGCTGCTTCTAAGAGCTCTGCTGCAAGGCGGAACTGTTTGCCACTCGCTCCTTACAGCAAGCCCGTGTCCACTTAAAAGGAATCACGGCCAAGCTGTTCTGATGCCGCGTTGGGGAACTGCTGAGCTTTGCGACGGCTGTCCTAGATGCAGGTCGTATCTGCTTAGGGTAACTTCTTCGAAGTGCCCGGAAGTTATCAACGCTAGAGAGATCACTGAACGTCTCAATCCTCCGTGCACCCTTGGATTAGGCTCAGTCGCTGCTCGACGGCCCTTTTTGTGTGGAGATCGTGCTGTACGCTGCGACACACCTGGCCCATGCACCTGCGCCCTTGGAGCAAGGGACTGGAAACGGCAAGATGCTGGAACGCTCGGCACTGGGGCACGTGGCTCGTCTGGACTACAGCCAGCTCAGCGTTAGTAGCTCCCGGTTATGAGCAGACGACCATGCTTGTTGACTGCGTGGCTGAGCGCATGTATCTTCGGAGCTTCGGCAAGCGCAGGCACTGTGTCAACGCAAAGAGACCGCATAATGATGCAAGCAACCACCGTCCCATCAGTGATGTTCCCCAGTATGGCGATGCTGAACTATGTTGGATTGGCGAATGAGGCTCATGATAATGCTGAGGAGGATGACGATGATGAAGATGGTGAGGATGATGATGATGATGAAGATGATGATGATGATGATGACGATGATGATTATGATGTTGGTAGTGGTGATTGCTGCTGCTGCTGCTGATGCCGGCGCTGGTGATGGTGGTGATGGTGGTGATGGTGGTGATGGTGGTGATGGTCGTGATGGTCGTGATGGTCGTATGGTGGTGATGGTGGTGATGGTGGTGATGGTGGTGATGGTGGTGATGGTGGTGATGGTGGTGATGGTGGTGGTGGTGGTGGTGGTGGTGGTGGTGGTGGTGGTGGTGGTGGTGGTGGTGGTGATGGTGGTGATGGTGGCGGTGGTGATGGTGGTAATGGTGGTGATGGTGGTGATGGTGGTGATGGTGGTGATGCTGCTGCTGCTGTGCTGCTGTGCTGCTGTGCTGCTGTGCTGCTGTGCTGCTGTGCTGCTGTGCTGCTGCAGCAATTTCTGGTGCTTCTGGTGCTTGTGGTGCTGGTGCCTCTGGATTAAGTCCACACACGCATTGATTGCATCGCAGGCACACCAAACATAAAAGCAAAACAAAGGGGGCAAGCTGCCCGATCATGGTTGCAACAGTGTGACCCGACACGAAGCTGCAAGCTCGAGCAAATAACGCAAACGAAAAAATAGCCAATCATGCTGTGTGACTTAGGAGCGTACAAAGGATTGCAAGCATGCCTGACAGGGATCATTGTGACGGTGATGCGGGTGATGATTCTCATGATCGCAACTGGTGATGATGATGATGATGACGACGATGATGATGATGATGATGAGGAAGAGGAGGCGGAGGAGGAGGAGGAGGAGGAAGAGGAGGAGGGCTGACAATGTTGTCTGTGGCAGCAGTCTTCGCACTCCCCACAGCAAACATGCAACCGAAGCACTCCGGGTCAAAAGAGGGATTCCAATGACACTGAAACTACAGGTTGCAGCAGACAGGGTCATCTTGCCGATGATGGTGGAAATAACATGTGATAACGACGATAGCAAGAATACTCCGTCAGAATCATAACCACAAGCAGAGTGCTGGCTAGTCAAGACAAACTGCACGAAGACGACGAAGACGAATGTCTCAAGATTACTTGGTGCCACGTGCCCGCCGCGCTCCTGCGGTTCGGGTGCCTTCAGCCTCTTGATTTGGCGCTGAACTCGTTGCATTAGGGACCCTTAGGGGGATACGGGGGACGGGGCAGGGGACTATACTTCCTTAATTGGCCTTATCAACTCCTTTTTGTGGGTATTTAAGCCCCCTACCCCCTCCCCCCTCCCCCCTGAGGGTCCTTATGAAACTCTTTATCTTCCAGTCCGAGACTCGGCGTGCACGGATACAAGTTGCTACAGATGCTTCTCTGGTGTCAGCCGCCAAATCCACGGTCATCATCGCATGGCCTTGTTTTTAAGCTGGCTTTTCGACCCTGCTTGAACTCATCAGCCGTCAGCAGCAGGACGCTCAATGAGATATGGAAGGATAACTAGGGCAGTGCCTCCACTGCGATCTACAAATGTTGAGCCTCTTGTGGGACTCAGATAAAGACGGAACTGAACTTCTCCTGGAGGATGAAGTTATGGTCACAAAACTGCATACCGCGCACCGCAGCAACACGAGCCTGCGCGAAACGCTGAAAAAAGCGAAGGTCGGGCCTGGGAGGCGCGCGACGCTCAACCCTGGGATTTCCCCCAAGGATCCACCATGATGGCCTGGCCATTCAGCACGCTCCTTCCCAGGCGAGGTCTGCAAATGCGGAGGGGTGAGCGGTTGAACAAGAGGGCTTGCGACCCAGAAAACCCTGACTGAATGTCTAGCAACGTGCAATCCGGAGAAGGTCCCGTTGAGCATCGTGATGGCGTTGGCTGCCTCCTCTACCGTTGAGAAGGACACGCTGCCGGTGCCGTTTCCACTGAGACACTCGAAGCCGGTGATCTTTCCGGCCTTCAGACTTCCAGGCTTCACGTGCTGCGCATACTGCAATACGATGGCCAAGTCTGGAAGAATGTGCTCTTCCAAGATCTGTCTTCGTTCATGGACTTCAACATCTTCTAACCGCACAAGTTCACAGGTACACCAGAATATACTGTAGCACTGTAGCCTCTAGTGCACTCTATGAGATGTCGCTGTCATGACACCATGATGGAGGCTTCGATCTACTAGACAATGCCCCCCCTTACAATGCCCTTTTTCTAGACCCTTGAGCAGCCTTGCAGTCTTAGAGAGACCCCTGAAGCAGCCTTATACCCTGATACCCCACAACAAACCCCGGTGGGCCTGGCACATGTGGTCCCGCAACGCTTTGGAGGAGGTCCCGTCCGCGAGGTTTCCGACCCGGCATTTTAGAGCCGGGTCGGCCATGAGCCCTTGGCTTCTGGCCTGCCAGGGACCGGGGCTGCAGGGTTTAGGCATTGTTCCTGTTTTCAAGGTTGAGGGTTCAGGGTTTAGGGGTCATTCTGGGAGTGTTTGAGGTTACTTTGGCCTTTTCTGGTAGTCTTTTGGTGTCTCTGGGTGGTCCTTCGGTCTCTGGTCTCCTTCTGATCTCCCGGTGGTCGCCGTCTCCGGGTGGTCTCCTTCTGGTCTCCTCGTCCTGAGTCCTGGTCGTAGTGGTCGTGATGGTCGCGGACGTCGTGAACGTGGCGGTGCTCTTTCACTGTTGGGGATCTACGTTGACACAATGTGGCACTCACAGAAAAGCACAACCGATATTGCTACATTCGGAGCTCTTACGCGCATCAACTGGAAGCTATCCGAAATTTCAAGAACTGAGAGCGCCTCCCGGGAGAGCAATCGCTGATGGAGCCCTTCTTCCGCCTCTCACCCAGAAGAGTCTGGAGGTTCGTTTCAGATGGCTCTTACTTGGAGGATCATGGGACTTAGTAACTAGGGATATAAATAAGGTAACTATAATTACAACTTATAACTCCAATTAGGGTACTTATAACCTTACCTACTAAGTCCCATGATCCTCCAAGTATCCTTGGCATGTGTGGGGCTTGTAGACTGGAGGCTGAAGGCTTCGGATCCCCTTCCTGGGGATCTCTATTCTGGAGCCCCGAGTTCCCCTTGTGGCACGTAAGAGGGCGTGAATTGTGATCTGGGAGCTTCTGTCCTTTCGTTCTTGCTGCTGCTGATGTGGAGCCCTTGCTGCTGTTGCTGCAACTGCTCTTGGTCGCAGCATCCTTTCTTGCCGTGGTTCTTGCTGCTGCTACTGCTGATGTTGTTGATGATGGCAGCGATGACGATGACGATGCGACGATGATGATGACTTTGACCGTGGTGATGACGGTTTTGGTGTTATTGGCAGGTCGAAGGATTGCCGCCACGAAGACTGTGTCATCTTTGCTCATTTTGCCTTTTGGCCGGCTATGTCGCGGTGGCTAGTTCCACGCTTGTCAAATCCAATGCCGTGCTGTTTTGTTGGGTGGGACTTGTGATACCTCTAAAATCACTGTTGCTGCTGTTGCTGTTGCTGTTGCTGCGGCATGCTGCAGCTGCCGTTGCTGCTGTGGCTGTCGCACTGTCGCTGTCGCTGTTGTTGCTGTTGCTGTTGCTCTTATTGTTGTTGTTGTTGTTGTTGCTGCTGCTGCTGCTGCTTGCTGCTTTTGCTGCTGCTTGCTGCTTTTGCTGCTGCTGCAGATGCTTTTGCTGCTGCTGCCGGTGCTGCTTCTACTGCCCAATGCCGCTGTCGCTGCTGTTGCCGTATGTGTTGTTGTGTTGTTGCTTTGTGCTGTTGCTGCTGTTGTTGTCGGCGGTGGTTGTGTTGATGTTTTTGGCGCTGTTGTCGTTGGCGGTGCTGCTGCTGCTGCTGCTGCTGCTGTCGTCGTCGTCATTGTCGGCGTGGTTGTTTCTCTCTTCGTGGTTGATGCTGATGATGTTGTTGGTTGCTGCCGCTGTTGAGGATGTTTGTTGTTCTCGTTGTCGTAGTCGTGGTCGTTGTGGCTGTTGCTATTGATGCTGTTGTCGCTGATGTTGTCAGTGCTGTTGATGTGATGCGTTGATGAACATGGTTGTTGCTGCCGCTCCTGCTTCTGGGCGATGACGGCGGCAGCAATGCTTTTCTTGCCGTTGTTTGTGTTGCTGTGGGTGTTGGTTTTTGTTGGTGTTGAGGATGCTGCTGAGGTGTTGTGGGTGTTGCAGGTGCTCTTGGTGTCGTTGGTGTCGTTGGTGTCGTTGGTGTCGTTGGTGCTGGTGGTGTTGATGCTGATGCTGACGCTCATGTTGCTGTTGCGGTTGCTGTTGCCGTTGGTGTTGATGTTGGAGTTGCTGATAGGGGGGGTGCGCTGTTGCTGGTGCAGGGGCGGTGGTCGAGAAGTGCAGGGAACGCCTCAATCTGGAGCAGGAGGTCTCCGGAGGTGCTCATCCTTCGCAAAACCTCAGGGTTTAGGGTTTAGGGGTTCAGGGGTTTAGGCTTTAGGGTCCCTGACAGGGTTTCTTAAGAGGATCTAGAAGCCTTCTTCTGGTGGGTCAGGGTGTTGCCAAGAAGTTCCATAGCGCTTCAGGCGCTTCATTTTAACAAGGGAGTTTCCGAAAATAGGGGACCCTAGACCCAAAAATCAGGTACCCCTAATTTTCGGAAACTCCCAGATGCGGGTGTTACAAGGGCTATCAAAGTGCGGCGGCTTCGGATTTTGGCTTCGGGCTGTGGAGCTGTGTAGTATCCCTAAGATCCCTCCTCAAACCCTAAACACTATAGATCCCCTTAAAGAGACTTCGGGACCAAAGACGCAGGACCCAGCATCTCCGACGGCTTCCAAGGTTTTCTGTGTTCTTTCTTTTTTTGGGGGGGTGAAAGCGATGGGGCATGAGTTCTAAATCTCACAGTTGAATGAAGCTCTAAACCAAGACCGTTTCGAAATCCCCAACCCTAAACCCAAGACTCCATCGAGACGCTTCCTGGCGCTTCCTGAGCCCCAGATCTTCAAGTAGGGAGTTCAGAGAAGTTTTACAAGGGTGCCGTACGAGTTTCGGAACCTAAAGAGGCCCCAATTTTGAGAACTACACAAGTACACCAGGAATCGCCAAGACAAGACTGCACACGGCTCAAGAGACAGAGTCTTATGTCCAGGGCTTTCGGGGGTTTAGGGTTTACTTGGAGGCTCGTGGGACTTCGTAACTAGGGTCGCAAATAAGGTATCTGTGCTGATAACTTAAAATAATTGGTTATATCCCCAGTTCGGGTAACCCTAGACCCTACTAGTTACTAACTCGTCGAGCCCCATAAACAATACTATAGTAAAACATGAAGTTCTTAAGGCACCTATGTTAAATCCTGATAACAGCCCTGATAGTAGCCCTTAAAGACTCCTTTACAAGGGGCGCCCAAGAATAGTATAGCGAATGCCTGAACCATAGAAACCTGAACCCCGAACTCAAACCTACCGTCATTCTGGAGGCCCCTTTAAAGGAACCCCCAAAAATAGTATAGGTACTTCTTAAGGCCCCCCCCCTTTTTAGGGCCAGGGCCAAAAGCCCCCGGTCCCCCCGTGGCCTGATCGAAGTCCTTGCGGCTCGGGGCCCGACGAGTCCAAGCCGGGGGCGAAATGCCGTAGCCCAACCTGACTGGTGTAGAGTTTAGGGTTTAGAGTTTAGGGTTTAGGGTTCAGGGTTCAGGGTTTAGTTTTCAGGCTTTAGGGTTTGGGTTCAGGCTTCAGGGTTTAGGGTTTAGGGTTGAGGGTTGAGGGTTTATAGCATTCAAAACCTAAGCTTCTGTTCGTGGACTTCTTGAGTTTTTACTACCCATAAAGATGGAAACCGTTACCCAACTGTGACAAACACATGTTCGAGTCAAGCGGTGGTGGGGAACTTGACGTTGAGGCCCGGGGATGCTTGTATAGTGCTGCCAAGTTTGTTGATAAGCTTTCACAAAATGAACACCACAGCTAGTCTACTAAGGTGTCTAGACTTGCGATACCCCTAAATTGAGGAATCGTAAGTGGGCTTCGACCTGAGGCCACCATTTCCAATGACCATGCTTAGTCAGTAAGTCCCTTGACCCTCCGGGTACACCCCAAAGCCCGTGACAACTCCCAACCCTAAACCCTAAACAGGTTTCTCTAAACCCCTAAACGCTCTAAGCCCCAAACCACCTGAAACCCTGAGCCTGCGGTGCAAACTAAGTGGCCAGAAGACGGCGGCTGCAGCTACGCATGCCGCCGCCTGGCAGCAGATGAGCCCGGCCTCGCGGCTTTTCACAGGATTTTCTATAAAAGGGGCTTTGAGAATCAGGGTAGGGTTTTGGTGTATATTATGCGAGAATAATACTACGAAGCCACAAAAGTAGTAGTGTAACTACTTAGGCTTCTATGGTAAACGGCCTTTTGGGTCCAGGCTTGCTCCTATGGGGCTCCAGGTTTCAGGTTTGAGAGGATCCCCTATGGTCTAGGGTTTAGGGTTTAGGGCCCTCAGCGCCCCAAAAAACCGTGAAGACTAAACCCTCAAACGCAAGAAACCCTAAAACCCCAAACCCTCAAACCCAAGAAAACCCAAGACCCCAAACTCGAAGGTCCAAGAAACAAACATCCCGAGTCTTGAGATTCGAAGGAAGCTCCTTGAAGGTCTTTAGCTTTAGGGTTTTGGTTTCAGGGTTTAGGGTTTAGGCTTAGGGCTCAGGGTTTAGGGTATAGGCTCCAGGGTATAAAGCAAACAACACTGAGGGCAGAGTGTTCGTTGTTGTGTGCGTTTTTGGTTCTTGAGTAGGAGCACTCGGAGATCAGGCTCCAAGCCAGCACGTCCTAACGTACTTGGAGGATCATGGGACTTAGTAACTAGGGTTATAGAGAAAGTAACTATACTTATAACTTCAGTTAGGGTACTTATAACCTTACTTAGCGTTACTTACTAAGTCCCATGATCCTCCAAGTAGGAATCTGATTAAGAAACCTTGGGCCTTCATTAGGGTTCCGCATATGAAGCCTGCTATTTTGGGGTTGTACGCCCAGGGTTTCTTGATCAGGTTCCTACAGTATCAACGCATCACGCCACTAGGAAGCGACAAGTAACCTTTTATTAGTGACAGGGATGAACCCTTTGAAATAAACAGATTGCCCCGAACCAAGCTGCCGAACTCCTGTACACTACCCTGGACCCTCGAACGAAAGAAATCTGAGCAGCCAAAATGCAGGACCGTCGTAGATCATCAGCTGCGTTGCAAAGGCAGAAAGCGCGCATGGGATCACACTCCTTTCTTGAGAAGGTCGCGTGCGAGGGTTTGTCGGGCGCTTCGGGTTTTGGGTTTTGGGGTGTGGGGGTTTAGGGGTTCCGGGGTGTCTAGGCCTGGGCAAGAGTTCATATACCCAGACAGGTTAAAGGAGCCCCGATCGTCTAAATGTTTAGTCTTCCATGATGTAGTTACAGTAAAATGTACCGCCAAACTATATTCCAGTTTCCCCAGGCCCCGATGTTAGCGTTCTTGAAGCCTCGGGTTTCGATCACTCTTTCATCCGAAAGCTAATGGACATTTCTCTCGGCGGAGAGGTGAGAAACAAGGATTCGAAAGATGCTTAGGGCGAGGGAGTTCGACTCGAATTGAGGCTTTTGCCATTTAGAGCTGAAGCCCTTGGCAGTGGAATCCCAAAATCGTATATCCCAACTTAACCCAACATCGCCAGAATCTACATCGATTCCTCAACTTTCAGCAGCATGACAAGCCTCACGCACTCCGGCCCAAAGCTTTCGAGCCTAAAGCCTCAAGCCCAATCCGCCAGGTATGACTGAATTGCAAAGGCTCTGTGCCACGATCTCACACGAAGCAGCCATGCCCGCACAGTCCTCTCAGTTTACATTTTAAGGTTGACGGCTTCTTTCCACTTCACTGTAAGAGGGATAGGTGTGGGATTTGGGTTTAAGGCTTAAGGACTCAAGTATTGGATCCAAGGTTGCGGGTCTTGGGTTCCGTGACCCCTGGCGACAGCATCTCCAGCTCTCCTCCCAAGAGCCCCCCCCCGGCTTACTCCGGCTTCCCGTTTGGCAAGGTTTCGGGTCTCAGGTTTAGGGTTCACCGGCGTTCTGTCTGTGTCTCGGGTTTTCCACACCATCCTCCGAAGAGCACACCAACCCGGGCAGGATACAGGACTCCACGTCACAGCTTGTTCTCAAAACGATGAAGCGCCCCCTGCTGAGATCTGTGATAGGCGTCCAGGGGTGCCCATATGAATCGAAAGAAAGGATGGCCAACGCCAAGTTCTCTCTCTCTCTCTCTCTCTCTCTCTCTCTCTCTCTCTCTCTCTAAATCAATGGTTATATCGCAACAAAAAGAGCTTGATTGATAGTCCACTCGTGACGACCTTTGAGGATATGCCCAATGCAGTTCTTGCGCAGACACCTCAAGGACATGTGACGTGCTTCCCAGAGAGCCCAAAACCCATTAATTAAGGAATATGGCTTAAATCATAATATGAATCCCCTTACTATTTAAGCGGAGGATTGGGCTCTCTAGGTTCTTGCAAGCTATCGACAAAGCATGCTGACACTCGTCAGGGCCTAAACCCCAACTCCGCGGAATCCTAAGCCCCTTCATATAGAGGCCTTCACAATGACATTCGATTTTGGGGGTCTGTTAGACTGTAATCCCTTGGGAACTCCGTTTTTGTACTAGTTCATATCCTCCAAGGGCTCGAAGAAGAGCACGTTGGCAGACACCAAGGCCATCATTAGAACGCCTGCCTGGCAGAGTTGCAAGGGCTGCAACTACGTATGACGATGGTCTGAAGATGCACGGGCTGTAGACTTAGACGGCTGAGGTTGATGTAGAATCCACACAGGGTGCGCTGTTAAGCCATGTGCAGTAGGCATACGCTATCTTTTCACACCCGCAGGGTTCGAGAGTAAGTCGCGAAAGCACTCAATGTGATGATTGTATATACATGGCAAACAAACTCCTACGCATGGTGCGATGCGAAACTACACCCCCCCTCACCTAAACGCAGGGTCGTGTACAATGGAAAACAAAGTAATGCCAGCCTGAAGGCGGATGAGTGCGGGTTCCCCCATTTCGACGGCTCCGACGGCCGGAAAGCTAGAAAATCCTAGGTTTGTCGGGAATTGCTGCTGGAGAAGGAACAATTTGCGCAAACTCGACGATGGTGTTGGTTTTGCGGGTCTCCCCCAACTACAGCGGCTCCAAGGGAAAACTGGTGGCTGATTTTCTGCTACTAAGTTCTGCAAATAAAGAAGCGCGATGATCATGACACATCGACGATAACGACGGTGGTGATTATCGCCCTGCTCGTGATGCTGATGATGCTGATCATGATGCTGATCGTGAATTTGACACGGCTTGATCCTAGCTAGTATCGCATATAACTAACTAAATATGTACATCGACATACATGTATATATATACATATATGCATCAATCAATAAGAAATATATACATATATATATATACACACACACATATTTGTATGTAAAGGTGCATGTATATGCATACATAAACATACGTAAACCTGTAAGTTTAAGTAAGATACCTTACATATACAATCCTTCACAACCTATTGAGACGCGTAGATTTCGTTGAAAGAGTTTTGGCCGGAGTCTGGGTGGTGTGCCGCCTGTGCCTCGGCCCCGCACAAGAAGTCCCCTCACGAGGGTTTAGGGTTTCAGGGTTTAGGGTGTAGGGTTTCGGGTATGATCGGGTAATCTTTTGGACTGGAGATGCATCGGCTTGGATACTGCATGATACAAGCGAAACTGGAAGGAGTGTAGACCTTACCGCGCCTGCATTACTAAGTCCCCTGATCCTCCAACAACCGCGTCCCTGCCTGGAGGAAGGACCCTGCGAGGTAGCCCCAGAGAAACGACGAGGAGAAGAAAACACCCAGCAGCCTCAATTCTGCAGTCATCCATTCCCAGCGAACCCACGAGGCTTGTTTCAAGAAGGCATGCCCCTAGAGAGAGATTCTCAAGGCATATTGTTTCAGCATAAAGGTTTAGAGGCTAATAGCCTCTAAGGACGCATACCGTAAACTACATGCCCCAGATCCCCCTTCCAACCGGTTAGGTCCCTACATGAGATGCCTGACTGTCCAGCCACAACCTAGACTCCTTAACCAGGTTTTTCGGTATAGGAACCCTAAGCCCTACCTAAAGCCCAAAGCCCAAACCCCAAAGCCTAAACCCTACATCCCTACACCCTGAATGAAATTTTTTTCAATCCCTGCCATGGACGGAGAAGGGCTCTGCTTTGGAGGACCGAAACGAGCAGGAAGCTTGGTCTGTTTTCAGGTGTCTGTCAGTGTTTACGGAATTTAGGGGTTTGGAGAATTTAGGGTGTAGGGTTCACAGCTCTGTGATGAAGTTGAATGGGCGTCCAAGGGGGTTCTTATAGGAGATGGCAACTTGAGCAAGAAAGGTTGTAAGCAACTTATTTGAGACTACATATGGGACTTTCCGAAAATACGGGAACCGAATATAGTATCCTAAAAATAGTAGGATCCTGAGTATAAGGACCCCAAAGTAAGGTACCCCTAATTTTCGGAAACTCCCATATAACTCCAGTGACCTTACTCTACTTACCAAGTCTACCGACCTTTCACGCGTACCCCTAAACCAGATGTCCACATGCCAGCAAGGGGCCAGAGTATGTGGACAGCGGCTTATGAAGTTCAGGATTTGAGGATTAGGGCTTCATGTTGAGGCTTGGTTCCGGAACGAAACCAGGAGCCAAAATTTGCAATGCATCGCACTGCAGAGCCCGGTAGCAGGGAGATTGCACCGGCAGCGCCCAGAAGACTCATTGCCAAGCGTGCATCCTGCAGCACACTACCCAGCCGAAGCCTCCAAGGCAGGGGCGCACACCCTCGACTCAACCACTTAGTCCTGCAGCCCTAAACCCTCAGAATTAGACCCTACAGACCCTACGAACCTGAAACGACGTCGTGCTCCTTTGCGAAAACCTTATGAACACTCGTTCATCTCCCTGCTTTCCAGGTGACTGCTTGACCTCTCCCTACAAAGCAGAGGCCTCTCGATCAAGAAGGCGCCAACGCCACAGAGAGCGCCAAACACGAGCCTTGGCTGAAAGTTTCCTGGTCTACTATTGGCAGTCTAAGTCACCCACTGTCTGAACCTGAACCTCCAAACCCGAAACCTGCATGGTGGGCATTGAGGCTATCATTCCAAGGCGTGGTTCCGGATTCTCCTGCGGATGCAGGGCCTAGGGATTCAGGTTTCGGAGAACGTATGTCCTTGTGATTAGGGAATTTAGGGACGAGCTAGGGCCACAGCTCAGAGTTGACGGAAAACGAAACCTCGACCCAGATTCCGAATTTCTTAGTATCCTAGGTCCTAGATTGCACATTCGACTATTTTGCGGAAAACTTGCACTTTGATGTAGAGTTAGCTGGAGCCAGCATACAACTCCGACACCTCCCCACTCGCTTGAGGAAGAATATAGGAGAAGTGCTGTTACTTCTTCTACTTCTACCTCTACCTCTATCTACTCCTACTCGTACTCCTACTGCGACTGCTAGTGCTAGTGCTATAGTGCCAGTGGTTCTGCTACGGCCACTGCCGCCGCCATTGCCACTGCCCCTGCCACTACTATTGCTACTGCCACTGCCGACGGCCACGGCCGACGGCTGCTGCTGTTGCTACTGCTGCTTCTAGCCGCTGCAACTACTGCTGCTACTAGCACCACACCCACCAACACCACCACCACTCCAGCTCCTACTACTACGACCACTACTCCTACTACTACTACTACTACTACTACTACTGCTACTACTACTACTACTACTGCTACTGCTACTGCTACTGCTACTGCTACTACTACTGCTACTGCTACTACTACTACTACTACTACTACTACTACTACTACTACTACTACTACTACTGCTAAGACGACGACGACGACGACGACGGCAACGGCGACGACTACTACTACTACTACTACGACGACGACTACGACTACGACAACTACTCCCGACGACGACTACGACTACCACTGCCAGTTCCAGCTTACCACACTACCACCACCAATACCAATACCAATACCACAACCACTACCACTACCACTAGCACCACTACCACTACCACTAAGACTACTAAGACTACTACTACTCCTCCTCCTCCTCCTACTACTACTACTACTGCTACTGCTACTGCTACTGCTACTGCTTCTGCGACTACTACCACTTCTACTACTACTACTACTACTCCTCCTCCTCCTGCTGCTGCTGCTGCTGCTCGCACTTCTCCTGCTGCTAGAAGTGGCAGTGGTAGTTTTAGCAGTAGCAGCAGCAGTAGCAGTAGCAGCAGCAGCAGCAGTAGCAGTAGCAGTAGCAGCAGCAGCTGTGGCAGTAGCAGCAGTGGCAGTAGCGCCCTTTGAAAAATCCTCCCCCCCAATCTGCCTTCAACAAGTGAAGAAAGCCTGACAGATTCCCTTCCACAACCAGTGCCATGGCCCCGAAACTCTCGGCACATGTAAGCCTTGAACTCCTGAAGCCGAAAACTCTCAACCCTGCCCTAACCGCTCAACCCTGCAACCGTAAACCCCCAACCCCGAAACCCCTAAACCTTAAACTCAGAAACCATAACCCCCACACAATGCCCAGGCACATGATCTCCGATGAACTAATTACAGACTCGCCGAAGGTCACCTGTGGCGTAGCTTTGGAGTTCACTTGAGTCTCTGGGCATGTGACTCCACGCCTCCGCCAGGTAGCTGCTGTTTGCATTGAAGGTGAAATACGCGCCCATGACGCAACCTGGTGTACCCAGAGAGCCCAAGACCCCTTAATTAAGGAGTAAAGCTTAAATCAAAGCATGAATCTCCTTGTAATTTAAGGTATCTTCCTCAATTAAGGGGTATTGGGCTCTCTGGGTACGTTTTGTTGTGAACCCTGGAGTCCCCGTTGAAACCTTGAAACCCTCAACCACAAAAGCCTTCAAGCCTCAAAGTCCTAAACACTTCTACCTTGTGAGGGGCGTGGGTGGAAGAACAAAAGGACCATAATCACTATGCTGTGTCGACAGTAGGTGTGGGGGGTCGGGCGTGGGTAGGTGTGCAAACATGTGGGCAGCCGGGGTCCGTAGTGCGTGCGCGCGGAGGTGCGGCACATCGGAAGAGGAGCTGGATGGGTCGGTGGTGGGTGCAAAACGAGGGTTCCGAAATTCGAAGCCTGTTCGACGACCCCCGAGGAGGACCCTTCTACGACCGTTTAACACCCCTGCGCTGAAGCAGCTTCTGCAAGATGGTCGTCCAAGGGTCCTCCAAGGGTCCTCGAACGGTTCTTGAACGCGGTCCTCGTTATGTGCATATAAGAAGGGGCAAATCCGATCAAATCCGCTGCCTTCTTCCCAACTCTCGGTTGACTCTCGACCAACGAATCTCCATGCCCGAGGATGCAAACCCCAGGAGAAATCAATAATGACCCTAACTTGCCCAATTATCTCCACGCCCGAGAACGCAAGTTCCGGGCAAACTCAGAGTGCCCATGTCCGAGCCGCACCTCCGGACCCAACACAGCACACTCCCCGTGCGTTTAGGGTTGACGAATCTTCTAGCCATACATCATGTAAAGACTGCCCCACACCTTGCCCAAATGCACGCCCCGCACATCTCGACCCTGAAAGCGCTCATTCCGGCCATACTGGAATCCCTGAAGGCTGCACATTGCAATGCATGTTTTTGTTACATCGATGTACAAAATCATACATTACAATGTACAATTACTTGGTGGTTGTGCCACCGACGCAATTCTCAACTTTTCCCAGTATGTACAGTACCCCTTACGGTAACCCATGGTGGGACCCATTCAAGTCGGCTGTGGTAAGCCTTCTGCTTGAAGGCTGAAGGCTCATGGGACCTAGTAAGTAACATTATAAGTAAGGTCATAATCCCGATAGCCCTACTTACGGGACGTATAGCCCCAATTGTAAGCCTAAGGTTCATGAGCTCTTATGTAGCACCCTTTGGCTTCAACCAACCCGGCGAGGAGCTGTGGGCTCTGGGTTGAGGATGCAATGTCTACTCGAGGCAGAGTTTGAGGTTGTTCTGGGGAGGGTTTAGGAAAGCTTATCCCTGAAGCACTTTCTTCTCCCAAACCTCTCAGCCGCGCAGCTTTCTGTCAGAAGGAGGCACAGAAGGTGTGGGTCCAAGATTCGCTTCAGGTCGCTGAGGTAGCTTTGGCTCTCTCCGTCCGGACAGCATTCCTTTTAGCACAGTGGCAATCAAAAATCGGAGTAGGGCTTTCGACTGTTTTGCAGTGAAACTATCCGGGCAGCATTCTACTCTGTCGAATTTTCCGAGAGGCTTTAGAATATGCGAAGACGGGCTTAACAAATGACAAGCAGATAGGGTTTTTTCGTATGCGTTATCGCATGATGATATGAGCGGCCGACATGTCTCCTTATTCACGGCTCTATATGAACCTCCTTGGGTGTAAACCCTATCACGCTAACAGAAAGTATAGCAGGACAGAGCCGAGGTACTCAACGCTTGAACCCGAAACCGCAAAACCTTACGGAACGCTAAAGCCCCACACCAATCCTAAACACTTTCGGAACCCTAACTTACTTCACAAAGCTCAGGCCCAACATACGGCTCTGCAACCATTGTTGGTGAGTCCGAGGCTAGACTAAGCAGCTGGAGACTACGACAAATATCTGAAGGACCCGAGGGAACTCTGAGCAATGTGTAACATGCCGATAGCCCTAAACCCTTAAATCTGAAAGCCTAATATTCGAATTGCTCAGACCTTGTAGTGTTCCCTTGTAGTATGCCGTCTCAGAACCCGTCTAGGAGCGCATACAGGAGGGACTATGTTACAGTTAGTTAATATCAACTAAAAAGAATATCAACTAAAAGGGTCGAGCCGCAACCATTGCAAAGCCAGCATAGCTGGCGAGGAGCCCCCAGATCCTGCGGCTGAAAGGACAGTCAATAGGTCGCCGAAAACAAAGTTCCTTCGGAGCTCAGGGTTTAGGGCCTAGACCCTGCTCGAGCCGAAATCTTAGAAACCCTGGTTGGGTTCGGGGTTTATGTTGCACTGTAGTGGGATGTAGTGGGGCTTTCTTTGCAATGATGTGAGCTACAGTCTGTGGGATTTGTTATCACGTCTCTCGGTGTTAACAGGTTGCTCCTGGCCGTTGCGATGTTCGCATAGAGGTATGGCATGTCCCGAATTTACACATAGCTAGATGCAGATGTGCAAGCAGCTGGCTCGCTGGCTTGCCGGTAGGTACGTACATGGGTAAGTAGTATGTATGCCCGCATGCATGTATGTACGGATGGGTGCATGCATGTATGTAGTCCGCACAGATGTTATGTATGCCTTTGTGTGCATTCCTCTTTATGTAGGTACTGATGTATGTATTTGTGTACTTGAGTATGGATGTACGCATGCATTCTGTATGTATGTATGTATGTACGTATGTAGGTAGGTATTTAGCCACACATGTATGCGCGTATGCATGATGTAGGTATGAATGCATGTATCTATGATTGTATATGTACGTGTGTACGTAAGTCTGAGTGTATGTATGTGCGCATGTGTACATGTTTGCGTGCCGTAGCTGCTTCCGGTAATGTACAGTGAGTAAGCTTGTTTACTCTATGAATGCTTTTGTTCTCTGCATGCCTATATGTGTAGCAGGTATATACACACACATGCACGCATGCAGGAAAACGTACACAAGTGCATACATACATACCTGCATTCTAATTTACATATACATATATATATATATATATTGGTTACCATATGTACATGTAAGACATATAAACATATGCACACATCTCCACACGGAGCTACGTATATCCCTGTGCTCAACATGTCGCGGTGTACTGGGTACCGTAACACATAAACCCAGGCAATGCTAGACAATCTTTTGTCATGTACATTGCATGCAGGTATGGTGCATTTGCATGTGCAGACCGAAGCTCAGAAACTCATGCGGCATAACGTATGAGTATATTGCTATCATAGCTGAAACCTGACATGCGGTGCAGTACAACTGCACAGTAAAACTGAAACCTTAAATGCAGAGATCCTAAAACAGTCTCAGCCCAGCGGCAGAGCAAGGCCAAAAAAAGGAGCGCGCCAGCTCAAGTAATGAGCGCCGAGCCCTCCGACAAGAGGGGCTAACGCAATGCCCACGAAAGCCATCATCCTGGATCTAGCACAGGGGCCTTAATCAACAGAGTAGGATGTTGTGCGATACTCTTGTGCTATACATACAGGGACGGTATTGTTGAGAGTTTAATCCCGAAGATTGCCTCGAAGAGGCCCTGGATGATGATGGGGTGCTTTTCGGAACTTCGGATTGTGGGGGCATTCATGCCAGGTTTGAGGGTTCAAAGGGTTGCAACTTCCGGGCTTGAGGAAAAATAGCTTACACCCCCGACTGGACCCCCTAGGCCTAAACCCTAACTTCTAAGCGGGGCTTTACTAGTTAGAATAGGGTTTTGGCGCATTGTCTCCTATGATTCTGATAAGAAGCCCTGCGGGCGCCTCTAGGGTTAAGAACCAAACCGTCTGGTTACCATACTGTAGTAGGGGGTTTTGGGTCGCAGTAACGCAATCCCGAAACCCTAAGTACGAAACCCACAAACCCTCCAAAACCTACACGGTAACCCAAATCAACCCTAAACCCTCAACTCTAGTGACCACCATACCCAAACCCAAAACCCTACACCCTAAACCCTCAACTCCCATGCCCACCAGGCACACCCCCAAACCCCAAACCCTAAACAACAAGGAAGCGAGCAGCTGCAGAGCCGCGACGACTACGAAACGCTCGGAGGGCTTAGCAAAGAAGTCTCGGGCCATGGCAAAGATCACCTGATCTTAGGGTTTAGGGTTTAGAGTTCGATAAGAAACACTACAATGTGTAGTATGAGGGTTTTACAAGGGTTCTGCACAGGTCTCGGATTTGAGGTATTCGTGTGTTACGGTACTCACGTTTAGGGTGTCGGGTTGGACTACGACTACGGCTAGTACCATGACATTGAGTATGAACATATTCATCTGAACACATGCCACCACTCCGGAACTAACTACTCTCGCCTTAGACCTCAGGGTACCTGCTCTCAAGAAAGTCTGAGAACAACGAACTTGGAGAACCTATCTCTAGACATACATATATATATATATATCGAGAGAGAGAGAGATTCCATTGAAAATAAAAAGTATTCCAACAACCATATGAAACGTACATATGCGGCCGTACATTTTTTGACATGAGTATATTAGATGTACTAATTATAAAACATGCATACATATACGTGTATATATATGTACTTAATGTATTTACACACATAGTACTTGTGCACACTACAAGCATGATGGAATGCTTGCAGATTCTGCTTTGACGCATATGGGTTTGTTGAGCAATACATAGGTAGTTCTCTAAATTTGGATCCCCTTTAACGTCCCCAATATGGTAGGGCACCCTTTGAACAGGACCCTAAAATGCACCCTAATTCAGAGAACTACTCATGCAGTGCTTCCTTCCCTAAACCCTTTTTCAGCATGGGCTTGGATTGTGTGCTTCCCTAAACCCCAAACCCTAAATCTTAAACTCTAAACCCTAAATTTAGAGAACTACCCACATGCAAAACAACACCAGGTCGCAGGCTCCAGGGATTCTCCCATGCCCTGCAGCAGCCTCGAAGCGATGAACCACTCAATCCGCTGGGCACCTGGGTTTAAGATTGGGCTCAGGGCTTAACGTGAAGGGGAATCATGTAGTGGCCGTAATAATTAGACTATATATATATATATATAATAAGGAATCCTCAAAATAGTATAGGTGTGTACTTAGGCCCCTATATTAGGGTTCAGGGTTTAGAGTTCTAGGATTTTGGAACATTTCCGGAAGCCTGAGGGAGAGTCGCCAGCGCCATCAATTTGATCACCCATGCCATCATCCTCACCGCCATGTTCGTCATGGCAGCAACTACACCATCTGAACGGGAGCAGTCTGGCATTCAGATGCCGCTTGTCATGCCCAGCTTGCCGCTCGAATTGCTGGGTACCTGGACACCCTTCACACGTCCCTCCCTCCGCCCTCGGTACTTTGTCAGCCGAACATTTGAGCAGAGAAGTTGGATCCAACTTACGACTGAGAAGCGCCTGCAGCGGTTCTTGCTTAAAAGCCGGTTTGGGGGCTGGGTGGACTGAAGTGTTAAGGAATGCGCGAAGACCCTGCAAAAAATCAAGGGAGCAGACCCGAAAGACTGAAAAAGCCCTCAACCCTGTGAAAATTCTATAGAATCCCAGCAAGACTGAGAGCACCTACAGCAATCGTACAACCCTTAAAGCACTAGCCCAAAATCCTCCGTGGCGCAGCCGCAACAGAAGCTTGCCACACTAAGCAAAGTCAGGCACACGAGCCTCACGCCGGTTGAAGGTGGTTTATGGCTTAAGGGTTTCGGGATTGAGGGTTCAGAGTTTGGGGGAAGGTTCAGGTTAGGCTTGCTTTGAAGCTTTCCTGAGCAATGATTTGCTTACCAAGGCCAGGCGTCGATCTGGGTTTGGGGTGTGAGGGCGAGGTGTTCACGTGTTTCAGCATTGGGAGGTCTAGGGTTTAGGCTTATTTATCCATGGTCTACCTATAGTCTCTGTTGTAGTGCGTTTTTTGGGTTAGAGTCTCTGGGTACGAGGTATAGCTCCTCCTCTTCGGCGAAAACGGACTCAATTGCCCGGTTAGAAGAGATCGACTTATGGGAGTTTCCGAAAATTAGGGGGGTACCTTAGGGTTCCTTAAAAAAGGTTAATATAAGGGTACTATAAGGGTTCCTAGAAAGGGCTCTATAAGGGTTTAAAGTTTCCGAAAACCAGGGGGTACCTTGTTTTGGGGTCCTTATCATCAGGATCCTACTGTTTAGGATACTATATAAGGCTCGGCCTAATCTTGGGAAACTCCCACAACTAGGCTTGGGCAATCCTGGCAGCTCTTCGGTCTGGGCATGCTTACGGTCTGCCCAGAGACAACTCGACAAATGCGGATGTTAACTCACATGGACTCGCAACCGTAAGGGCCAAAATCCCAAACCCCTCACTCCTCAGATTCGAAGCCACCACAGGACGTAGCAGAAAACAGACATGGCAGCTGCAGCAAATGACGGAACCTGAGAAGACAGGCCCTTGTGGTAGGATCTGTTATCATCCCCCAACACAGTGCCTCTGGCTGTTAAGAACCCTCATGCGGAACCGCTCAATAGTAAAACCTGCTGAAAACCATCCAAACAGATGATCCTATAAAACTTAAATAAAATCTACCAAACCGCAACACAAACTCGAGAAAACTCTTGCAACTCCCCCCGAAGGAAGCCCAACACTCTTGTAAAACCCTGAAGAAGCTCTTCTGACACACTACACAGCTCTTACAGAACCTTGAACCCTACATCCTGAACACTAGACCATCCTGAACCCTAAACCCTAAACCCCTAAACCCTAAACTCAACCCTAAACCTCTCAACCCTATAAGCTTCACGGCTTTGGCCCTGACCGACAAACCCGAAACCCCTTTGGAAGCCAGGGCTCAGCACGGGTTTCCGGCCGATTCGATCGGACAGGCCAGCAGTGGCCATGCCAAAGATCGCCTCCGTTTTGGAGGGTCTAAGGTTTACTAGGAGGTGCTGTCAAAGCCTTTGAAAATGTTAGTAGGTAAGATCCACTTAAAAGCCCAATAAGAGCAAGTAACAAAATATCCCAAGGCCCTACATAGTTTAGGTTAGGGTTTAGGGTTGTTTTGTGCTTCGTGAGCTCAGAGCGTTCAGGCTTTTGCATGGGATTTCACCGGATGCTGTAGTACTGTAGGGTTCTTGTGGGCTTTAAACTGAGTTCATCTAGTGTGAGAAATTTCTCACAAAATTAGTGGAGCTTTTGTGCGCCTTGACAAGCTTTTCAAGAACGCAGTCGAGCATTTGGGTTCTACAAACTTCGGACATAGGCTTAAGTTTTGCAGGCACAGGAACTAGGATCAACTAGGGTTCAGGGTTTCCAACTTAGCACTTCGGTTTAAGGCTTATTCTCTACGATTCGAGGGTTCCTGGTTTAGGGCTTGGGGTCTGAGGTTGATTTACCCATGCTTTACCCGTGTCCCTCGAAGTAGTGGCCGGGCTTTGTAGGATCTTCACAGGTTTTGACAAGCCCGTCGAAGTGTAGGAGACATTATGATTAGAATAGGGTTTGGGGCCCCTTATACCATCATGGCTAATTACTACAGAAGGAACCCTAAGGAATAATCTTGCGACATATTCTTCGGCCTCTACATTACATGGGGGCTCGCAAGGTTTCAGAGGGTCGGTACGCCTCTGTCGAACCCGTTCCGCACCACGAAAGTTAGCCCCCAAAAACCTGAAGGGCTATATCCAACTTGGCTAAAACCTTACCCTACGAAACCTAAACCATAAACTCCAAATTAATGACTCCTAGAGCTGTATCAATCGCCAAGCCCGAGAAGCATCCATGTGCCCTACCTACCTACACACACACACCTGTAAAACACTGCCAAAACCCTACAGTATCCTGCACACCTCTAGCGTGCCAAAGCCTCAAGCACTGAGCCCTAAATCCGGAACGGCATATCCTAAACCCTATGACCGTAAACCCGACATGTAAACCCTACACCCTCAAATTCACATACTCTAAACCCTGAAGTTGCAGACAACAAACTTGCTGAAGAGCCTCCAATGTAGGGGCCGTAATAATTAGACTAGGGTTTTGGTGGAAACATACACAGAAGGACACCCCCAAAATACCATTGTCAATCATAATCATGAGGCCCCCATATAACATCATATACGAAAGTTATCATGATGACTCTAAAGAAGCATATTGGTGATTAAAGCTCCCCTGAACTATATTCGAAATCACTTTGACGCACAAGTGATACTAGGACTCGAATAAAAGAACCGTCCTTTCAAAAAGAAAAGACTGTTGATTACGTAGGCCCCTTTTGTAAAAGCGCCTTGACGCACAAGTTCATCTGCACCGTGCCGCTCATGATGCTCTCAGAGCCGAGAAGGTCCGCCTAGGCGGAAGGGCAAAGGAGCCCCCAGACCCGAAATTAGGGTTGAGGGCTTAGGGTCTAGGGTTTAGGGTTTCGGGGCTGGGGTGGAGCGTGTGGGGGTTTGGGAGGAATGAATTCGGGGCTTAGGGCTGGAGGAGTCTTTCGATTCTTTCAATTCCATACCGACCTCAGTGGATCAGGGCTTATGGGTGCAGGCTGTAGAATACGATTTCGATTATTTTCTGTGGGAATGTTGCCAGCTGGCCGCAGGAAGCTCCTTGCTGTAAAACCCCACATCCCGAACCTTGTGGAGCTTGAAAGGCTTTAAGATCTAGGGTGTAAAGATTATTGCACAGGCCCGTCTATCCCTGGCACAACAATTAAGAGCTTGCAAAACCCTCGCAGCCCTACTTACTTGGCATTTACGATCCTGAAACTCCTTGCCCGCCTCCATCTGCGGAAGGCTCGGCACGTACTGGTCCGTGGTGAAGTAGATGAAAGCATAAACAACCCCCATGAACACCACCCAACTCTGTGGACAGCCGTCCTGCTCAAGTCAAAGCCAGAGTTGACAACTCAGTTGGAGGCTCTGGGGTTCAAGGTTCAGGGTGGGTGCACATGGTCCAAATCCTGTGGCCAATGAACCTATGTAAGTGGGCCAGGCGGTGGAGTTGGGGTCTTGCAACAGGTTAGGGTCTGTTGCCTTCTGGTAGGGGTCTCTTGGTGAAACAAGCCGCCAAGAGGTTGGGGGTTTCAGATTTTCACACTTACGGTTGCGCAGCCGGGGTGGGGAATGAAAAGTCCGCTCTAAGCTGAAGCTTGGGGTGTAGGGTTTCAGGGTGTAGGGTAGTGTTTTTTAAATTTTAGGCTTTAGACTTAGGAACGTTTTGTAACTCTATGCTCCGCACCGATTATAAACCTTATCAGGGTTGCAGCCTTAGCGAATGTATCCCAAGCCCAAACTCTGCGGTTCTCGCGGCTGGCGAAAGCAGCGAACCTTCTTGGAAAACGTCCTATGGTCCACCCGAAATGTCAGTCACCTCATGCAAGTGCGAAGGACACACACACACACACACTTGATAAGAGAATCAGGTCAGAGCTCAAAATGAACATCGACCGAGCGCTCGAAGAGAGCACAGAGCCAGTAGGCTCTGAATTACGACCAAGATGCGACAATGGGGTCAGATGCGAGCAACCAGTGATGCAAAGCAACGCACACACACACACACACATGATGCTGACATTGCGTACCTCCGGAGGTAGAAGTTGGAGGGATTGAGTGAGGATTTAGGATTTCTGTTCTTAGATTCGGCCTGAGCCATAAAACCTCAGAGTGTTGCGAAACTAGAAGTGGACGTCCTAAGCCCTACGCTCTAAAGCGCAAATCCTCCTCCACGCTGGGATGCCGGGGCATTCTCTTTGGCAGACCGACCAACACTAGGCGCAAGGACACGGCAATGAAGCCGCAGTAGACTGCGGCCACCAGTCCCTCTCAATGTTTTGGGGGCTTTCAGGGTCTTGGAGGTTTGCAGGTCTGTTAAAGGTTGAGGTTTAGGCTTCGTTTTTTTGTGGGGTGTCGGCTGAGCTCGGGTTGAAGCTACCATCGTTCTGAGGCTGATGGCTCGATGCAGGAGCCTGAGTAATTAGACTAGGATTTTGAGGAAAATTGTCGTGCATGTGACGGGGACCCTAAGAAACAGACCTACTACCTGTTCCTATCCTTTCTACTACAGGCTTGGAGGTGGAAGATAGGCCCGGAGCTGAACTCAGATTCATTTGATGCGAGAGTTTCAGAAAAGAAGGAAACCCTAAGGTAAACACCTCAAGCAGACCCTGTTGCACGAAGACCCCTACATAAGGTTTTCTGGGATTTAGGTGTTTCTTGTCGATGAGGCTTTCGGCTACAAGTGTCTGATATTGCGTAGCCCGAAACGGGTTGGGTTGGGAACCAACTCTGGGCTTCGGAGACAGGGCTTATGCTCTACATCGAGCTCTTTGACGACCGAAACCAAAACACAAACGTAAGCACACATAGACCATCAGCCCCTTATCCAAAACTGATGCAAGCAGGAAGGCCACAAAGCCCATGCTAAGAGCCAATGATCGATTCGTGAAACCACAATGCCGCAGCATTCAGGCCAACACCATTCAAGCACTGCCCCCTGCAAAACATCGAGGAAACCCTGAAGCCGAAATCCCTAAACCCGAAGCCCCAACACTCAACAAGCCCCATAAAATCCTGCAGAACTTTGCTACAATCCTCAAACTCTGTTCCAACCCTCTGAAACTCAGGACATCCCCCTGCACCCACGTAAAACAAACACCTCCAAGCTCGTAAAATCCCACGAAGCGAGCCTAAAAAGCCAAACTAGATCATAAACCCTAAGCCATCAAAGAGCCTTGCTGAGTTTCGCGAGCATGTCTTCTTCTGCGGAGAGGGTGTTTGGGAGTTTGTTGGTGTTACAAAGTTCTACAGGGTTTTGTAATGATTCTGCAAGGGGTCCTGTGAGCATTCCAAAAAAGATGAAGGTTTGGGAGTTTAGGATTTAGGTAGGATTTGGGGTTAGGGTTTCAGGGTTTGAAGGACTTCAAGTAGGTGCTCATGAAGGAGGGTTCCACAAAAGGGTTTCATGGGGCTTCAGCGGGTTGCATACCTGTCTTCGTACATTTTCAAGCATTCCCTATATAGTTTTGTCTCGTTTAGAAGGGTTGTGCAAGGGTCGCGCGTCCGGCATCTACGGGTAGGGGAGAGCAAGGCAGGCAGGGCGGGCAGGGGGCAGGGGAGTAGGGAGCAGCGGGCAGGGGGCAGGGCGCTTTGGGGCTAACGGGTTTGGATCAAGGGTTTAGGGTTTACGGGTTTTGGATTTATGGCTTGGGGTTTAGGGGCTTTGGATTTAGGGTTCAGGGCTGTGGAGTTTGAGGTTTAGGTTTTCGTCTTGGGTAATCAAGGTTTTCGTGTCCACCCTCTTCTTCACAAGGTTCTGTAGAGCTGAGTAAATTTAGGCTGTATATGCTTCAAAGATCAGGGGCGAAAAGAGCTTGGAACTACCGTGATGGGGGTATGAAGAGGCCGTTACAGCTAAAGTTACCTGACTTGCCACACTGCCTAGTAAGCCCTGATTGTTTGGGTAGACCCTTCACTTTTAATAGTATCATTAGAAATAACAATAATAGTAATAATAATAATAATAGTAGTAATAGTAATAATAATAATAGTAGTAGTAGTAGTAATACTAGTAATACTAGTAATACTAGTAATACTAGTAACAATAACAATAATAGTAATAGTAGTAATAGCAATAATTGGTAATAGTAATAATAACACTAGTAGTAATAATAATAGTGGTAACAATAGTAGCAATTGTAATAGTAGTAGTAATAGTAGTAATAATAACACGAGTAACAATAGCAATAATCGTAATAATAATAAATATAATAAGAATAATAACAATAATAACAATAATAACAATAACAATAACAATAATGACAATAATAACAATAATAACAATAATAACAATAATAACAATAATAACAATAATAACAATAATAACAATAATAACAATAATAACAATAATAACAATAATAACAATAATAACAACAATAATAATAATAACAATAGTTAAAAGTAATAATAGTAACAATAGTAATAATAGCAATAATAATAGTAATAGTAGTAATAGTAATAATAGTAATTAGTATTGCTAAAAAATAATAGTAATAATAGTAATAATAATAGTAATAATTGTAATAATAGTAATAATAGTGATAATAGTAATAATAGCAATAATAGCAATAATAGTAATGATAGTAATAATAGTAATAATAGTAATAATAGTAATAATAGTAATAACAGTAGTAATAGTAATAATAATAATAATAGTAATAATAGTAATAATAGTAATAATAGTAATAATAGTAATAATAGCAATAATAGGAATCATAGTATTTATCAGCTGCCAGCCGCCGCCTGGCCACGATTCGGTAGAGACGTCGGAGCCAAAATCGAGGGCCACTGGGCTACTGCCCAGGCCGCCCTGGCTGTCCTGAGAGTCTCGAAGCGCTTTTCCACAGTTTAGGGGTTAGGGTTTAGGAGTTTAGGGTCTAGGGTTTAGGTTTAGGGTTTAGGCTTTGCCATCGGGAACTAATGCAACGACTCGGCAAATTGGATCTCTCAAGTCGCGTCGAGTGCACCACGATTTTTTGACTTTGGGTGCTAACAAACTTGCGTGTCGATACCGATCCCTACGCTTCTGGCTCATCGAAACATGAGCTGAACCGATGCTGGCTTCCATGATCGGGGTTTTTGAAGCGTCAACACAGTCCGAGTCTTTCACGGCCAACCACACCAGTTGATGAAAAGCTTGGCATCGGAATCCACTTCAGTCTGGGGGGCTTGGCTTGCATCTTCGCATCCGTTGCCAAATCTTCGCAACTTTGATGGAAGTATTTGAACTTGCCGCCCTCCAAGGGCTCACGACAATGACCGACTACGGAAGCACTGCCGAAACACGCAGAATCACCCTTTTGGGGAAGGCAGATTGACACACGCACACACACAAGTACAAAAAGAAAGAAATACTAAATACAGGGGCGATTAAAGGTTCACCACAAGTTGCCGAAGAAGTTGACTATAAGCCAAGTCGCCGAAATCACAGACACTGACATCGAAGCGAAGATGAACCATGGCAGGCGCTGCATCGTGGCTTAGGCTACGGAATCCCGGAGAGGCACTAAACTCACGCCACTATCTGAGCATGAGCCATCCTGGTCAAGAAGCGTACGAGCGTCTGATAGGGGCCGAGGGTGCACCAAAGTCGAAAAAACAGAAAACCCACACAGACCAAAGCTATCAAAACCCAACCCCCTAACAGCTCAAAGCCAAATGGTTCAACAATGCCCTCAAACCAGCTGAATCAGCTTGCACCTCAAACCACAGCGACCCCAAGCCCCGACACATCAGGTACTGCCACGACTACAGTACTGAACCTGTGATTAATTTAGGGTTTAGGGTGGCTTGAAGCAGCCACGAAACGGATAACCATTTCTGCTGATGAGAGAGAGATTGGTACACAATGGTACACAGCTGCTGCTGCCGAGAACAAACAATCTGGTGGCATGAAAATCATCCGCAGCTTCAGGGCATAGGCTTGACATTCTTTCGCTCTCGCGGCTCGGTGTACCCTAAATCTAAACTTTCAACAAATAACTACACGGAATATGGTCGCCAGATTAACCCGAAGACCGACCTTGGTAAGATCCTGACCTCAGACGGTTCCGATGGAAGTCATATAGAGGGCCTTAATAATTAGAATAGGGTTTTGGGCCCCATTTTTCTACATTTAGAAGAAGGAACCCCAAAAAAAGTATACCTAATTATGAAGGCCCGTAGTGAGTCCGATTTTCAAGGATGCTGGGAGGAGGACAGGTATGAGCACCTACCTTGCCGCTTGGTTCATGGCTTAGCGGCCGTCTACTTACTGGATCCCTAAACCCATTGGGTTTAGGGTTTAGGGGTCCATTACCAACTTACTAGTTCTGATAAGCAGTACTACTGCTGCTACCACCGTCATCAAACGGACAGCTTACTGGACGTGCTGCGCAAGAGCGCCGCACAAGCTTTGCTGATTCTAAGAGCTCTGCTGCAAGGCGGAACTGTTTGCCACTCGCTCCTCACAGCGCGCCCGTGTCCACATAAAAGGAATCACGGCCAAGCTGTTCTGATGCCGCTTTTGGGAACTGTTGAGCTTTGCGACTGCTGTCCTAGATACTACTGTATTCAACTTCTCGAAGCACACGAAACTCATCACTGCAAGAGAGAGAGATCACCAAAAAGCTCAACCCTCGCTGCACCCTCGGATTACTGCAGGCTCAGCCGCTCTTGACGGGCTTCGTTCTCTGGATCGTGCTATACGCTACGATTCCAGAAGCTGTCAGCCCCACACCTGCCCCACGCACCTGCTCCCCTGAACCAAGGGACTGGAAACGGCAAGATGCTGGAGCCCTATAGGCACTGCAGGACCTTTGCAGAGGCTTCAAGCCTTACTCAAGCCCCTGACAAAACTGCCCCAACCCTTCAAAACTGCTGCATGGCTTCTTCCGATCACTTCTTGGTTGCCACGAACATGCCCTGGATGATCTTGCCCTCCTTGGCCAACTTCGCCATGAACTCGAAGTCCGAGATCAGCTTCTCGTACGCCTTCTCGTCCCAGCCCAGGAGCTTCTTGGCATCGTACACGGCCTGGTACTTCAGCATGTAAGTGTAGCAGTCCATGGCTGGCGAAAAGCGGCCGCTATTCTGGGCGACCTGCACCGTGCAACCGGCCTTCTCCAACATCGCAGCATACTCCTGCACTGTCGGAATGGCTGGGAAGGTCATCAGCCCCAGGAAGCGCTGCGCCTCCTCGTCCGAGAGGTTCTCACCCTCCATCCAGTCGGTGAAGAAGATCTTGCCTCCCGGCTTCACGATGCGAGCCGCCTGATCCACGATGAGCTGCTTGTCGGGCATGTAGCACCAAGCATCCTTGCTGTAGACGAAGTCTGCCGAGGCATCTGGAAGGCCGTTCTCCAAGGAGTTCGTGTTGATAAAGCTGATCTCTGAGACTAGCTGCTGCTGCGACGTGCGCTGCTTGACGTTGCAAGCGCGCAACCCGGGCAGGCAAAGTGCTGCCGGCTATGCCGCAGCCCCTATACAAACATGCGTGGAACAGTGGCTTCGGCACAATGTGACAGATGCCCAAGCAGAGCCACTCAACTACGACGCCAGCTCCTCCCAAGCCCATCTGTCTGCGACTTGCGTCTAGCACCCAGGGCTCAACACTCCTGCCCTGTGCACAATGGATCGGAGACGCGGGACGAAGACGCGGCGATGCCCGTCCACGTCCCCTCTCCCCTACGTTGGGTCCTCCCAAACGCAGCGCCCATAAGGTCGCGGAAAGAAGACGCAGCCATCGAGGCCTTCCTCTGTTGTGCGGACACGGCCGGTCTCCACCACGGACTTCGCTAGGTCGACGCCCACCATCTGATCAACACCGCAGAGGCGCACCAGGCAGCGCATGCCCCCGCCGTTGTTGCAGTTCAGGTCCACACCCTTCATGCCTGGGCCGACGCCGGCTTTTTGAGCAACCTCCATCGTCGAGGAAGCCCCGCCGATGTCGATCTGCTTGCCCATGACGAGCTCCCACACGCTCCTACGCTCATACACTCTTGAAACTTCAGAAGCCCGTGAAAGCATGCACTGAAGCCTCTCTACTGCGACCATCACGAAAACGTTGTGAAAACGTCATGAAACATCTCCAGGTCTCTGCTCTGAGCCATTGTAACACTCCGCGACCTTGTCGAAGCTGGTGGCGCCCTGGTCGGCAAGGAGCTTCATAGCTTCACACCCGCTGGGTCCGTCCTTCGACGACGTCGGAACTATGCGATCGGGCCAAGCTGCTCGAGCCGGACGCACAGCAGCTTTTCGCGCCGCACAAGCTTTGCTGATTCTAAGAGCTCTGCTGCAAGGCGGAACTGTTTGCCACTCGCTCCTCACAGCGCGCCCGTGTCCACATAAAAGGAATCACGGCCAAGCTGTTCTGATGCCGCTTTTGGGAACTGTTGAGCTTTGCGACTGCTGTCCTAGATACTACTGTATTCAACTTCTCGAAGCACACGAAACTCATCACTGCAAGAGAGAGAGATCACCAAAAAGCTCAACCCTCGCTGCACCCTCGGATTACTGCAGGCTCAGCCGCTCTTGACGAGCTTCGTTCTCTGGATCGTGCTATACGCTACGATTCCAGAAGCTGTCAGCCCCACACCTGCCCCACGCAACTGCTCCCCTGAACCAAGGGACTGGAAACGGCAAGATGCTGGAGCCCTATAGGCACTGCAGGACCTTTGCAGAGGCTTCAAGCCTTACTCAAGCCCCTGACAAAACTGCCCCAACCCTTCAAAACTGCTGCATGGCTTCTTCCGATCACTTCTTGGTTGCCACGAACATGCCCTGGATGATCTTGCCCTCCTTGGCCAACTTCGCCATGAACTCGAAGTCCGAGATCAGCTTCTCGTACGCCTTCTCGTCCCAGCCCAGGAGCTTCTTGGCATCGTACACGGCCTGGTACTTCAGCATGTAAGTGTAGCAGTCCATGGCTGGCGAAAAGCGGCCGCTATTCTGGGCGACCTGCACCGTGCAACCGGCCTTCTCCAACATCGCAGCATACTCCTGCACTGTCGGAATGGCTGGGAAGGTCATCAGCCCCAGGAAGCGCTGCGCCTCCTCGTCCGAGAGGTTCTCACCCTCCATCCAGTCGGTGAAGAAGATCTTGCCTCCCGGCTTCACGATGCGAGCCGCTTGATCCACGATGAGCTGCTTGTCGGGCATGTAGCACCAAGCATCCTTGCTGTAGACGAAGTCTGCCGAGGCATCTGGAAGGCCGTTCTCCAAGGAGTTCGCGTTGATAAAGCTGATCTTCCCATCGAGGCCTTCCTCTGTTGTGCGGACACGGCCGGTCTCCACCACGGACTTCGCTAGGTCGACGCCCACCATCTGATCAACACCGCAGAGGCGCACCAGGCAGCGCATGCCCCCGCCGTTGTTGCAGTTCAGGTCCACACCCTTCATGCCTGGGCCGACGCCGGCTTTTTGAGCAACCTCCATCGTCGAGGAAGCCCCGCCGATGTCGATCTGCTTGCCCATGACGAGCTCCCACACGCTCCTACGCTCATACACTCTTGAAACTTCAGAAGCCCGTGAAAGCATGCACTGAAGCCTCTCTACTGCGACCATCACGAAAACGTTGTGAAAACGTCATGAAACATCTCCAGGTCTCTGCTCTGAGCCATTGTAACACTCCGCGACCTTGTCGAAGCTGGTGGCGCCCTGGTCGGCAAGGAGCTTCATAGCTTCACACCCGCTGGGTCCGTCCTTCGACGACGTCGGAACTATGCGATCGGGCCAAGCTGCTCGAGCCGGACGCACAGCAGCTTTTCGCGCCGCACAAGCTTTGCTGATTCTAAGAGCTCTGCTAAAAGGAATCACGGCCAAGCTGTTCTGATGCCGCTTTTGGGAACTGTTGAGCTTTGCGACTGCTGTCCTAGATACTATTCAACTTCTCGAAGCACACGAAACTCATCACTGCAAGAGAGAGAGATCACCAAAAAGCTCAACCCTCGCTGCACCCTCGGATTACTGCAGGCTCAGCCGCTCTTGACGGGCTTCGTTCTCTGGATCGTGCTATACGCTACGATTCCAGAAGCTGTCAGCCCCACACCTGCCCCACGCACCTGCTCCCCTGAACCAAGGGACTGGAAACGGCAAGATGCTGGAGCAATATAGGCACTGCAGGACCTTTGCAGAGGCTTCAAGCCTTACTCAAGCCCCTGACAAAACTGCCCCAACCCTTCAAAACTGCTGCATGGCTTCTTCCGATCACTTCTTGGTTGCCACGAACATGCCCTGGATGATCTTGCCCTCCTTGGCCAACTTCGCCATGAACTCGAAGTCCGAGATCAGCTTCTCGTACGCCTTCTCGTCCCAGCCCAGGAGCTTCTTGGCATCGTACACGGCCTGGTACTTCAGCATGTAAGTGTAGCAGTCCATGGCTGGCGAAAAGCGGCCGCTATTCTGGGCGACCTGCACCGTGCAACCGGCCTTCTCCAACATCGCAGCATACTCCTGCACTGTCGGAATGGCTGGGAAGGTCATCAGCCCCAGGAAGCGCTGCGCCTCCTCGTCCGAAAGGTTCTCACCCTCCATCCAGTCGGTGAAGAAGATCTTGCCTCCCGGCTTCACGATGCGAGCAGCCTGATCCACGATGAGCTGCTTGTCGGGCATGTAGCACCAAGCATCCTTGCTGTAGACGAAGTCTGCCGAGGCATCTGGAAGGCCGTTCTCCAAGGAGTTCGCGTTGATAAAGCTGATCTTCCCATCGAGGCCTTCCTCTGTTGTGCGGACACGGCCGGTCTCCACCACGGACTTCGCTAGGTCTACGCCCACCATCTGATCAACACCGCAGAGGCGCACCAGGCAGCGCATGCCCCCGCCGTTGTTGCAGTTCAGGTCCACACCCTTCATGCCTGGGCCGACGCCGGCTTTTTGAGCAACCTCCATCGTCGAGGAAGCCCCGCCGATGTCGATCTGCTTGCCCATGACGAGCTCCCACACGCTCCTACGCTCATACACTCTTGAAACTTCAGAAGCCCGTGAAAGCATGCACTGAAGCCTCTCTACTGCGACCATCACGAAAACGTTGTGAAAACGTCATGAAACATCTCCAGGTCTCTGCTCTGAGCCATTGTAACACTCCGCGACCTTGTCGAAGCTGGTGGCGCCCTGGTCGGCAAGGAGCTTCATAGCTTCACACCCGCTGGGTCCGTCCTTCGACGACGTCGGAACTATGCGATCGGGCCAAGCTGCTCGAGCCGGACGCACAGCAGCTTTTCGCGCCGCACAAGCTTTGCTGATTCTAAGAGCTCTGCTGCCAGGAGCTACAGATCAGAGCCTTTTTTTCCCACGCTGCAGTGCGTCAGGAGGCCTTGGCATGCTCCGCGCGGCCGTTGTGGTACGCACGCAGCAGCACGCTTCGCCCAACCCGAGGAATACTGAAGGCCACCACTCTGCAGAGATCCTAAAGTCGCCGGGAGAAGGGGCGTCTCCCTGCAGAGCTGTGGCCAGGAGCATCCCAAGCTACTGGTGGCTGTGCCAGGTCACTGGCCGAATTGTCAGTGCAGCCCACAAAGGGACATGCTCTCTATGCATCTCTCGCAATGCAACAGCACAAAAGACGCCATATCCAGTATGGTCCAAAGCATCCGGTAGCCCGCAACTTTTGCAGGGGCCGGAGCCTGACTGTACACAGCTATACAAGCATGCGTCCGGAGAACAATACTTAGAATTGTCAACTGGCAAAAGCTGTGTGGCAGGCGGCCGACGCGGGCAATGGACTCAAGAGGCAATGTCTACTGAGCACCTACCAGCCAGCCAAGAAGGATTGTCGAACCCACGGTGCCTGTTCCTACCGGCGGTTCACAACATTCGGGACTCAAGCTGGAGTCGACTGCATACAGGACAACATTAGGGATCGACCCCTAGCATGCTGTCAAGGCTAAAGCGTGCTGGAGTGATGCTGTGCCCAAGGCGCTGGGAAACCCGAATCTGCCATACGGCCCACAGCAGCGAGCTGACGCACGTATGCGTGAATTCGATCATTTGGTTCAGGGACTCTGCATGGTGGCGCGGCGGACCTGCAAATAGAGCTCTTGGCATCCAAATCTTCTCAACATCTTGCCATGCATCTTATGTGGCTTGCCATTTGCGATTTCACAACCTGAGCACTCAGGCAAGTGGTCCAGGAGCCCCTTGTACTCGCACAAAAAGACTAGAGAGAGGGAGAGGGAGAGAGAGAGAGAGAGAGACAGAGAGAGAGAGAGAGAGACAGTAGAGGGAGAGAAAGAGAAGAGAGAGCAGAGAGAGAGAGAGAGAGAGATTCTATCGCAGCCATGCTACTATTTACTGATGCCTCTACACACCCTCTGCTGAGATCACGACTCCCTGGTTCTTAGTAGGGAAGTAGGGAATGGGGGAAGGGATCCCTATAGTACCCCCTATATAATCCCCAATAATAGTCTCCAATACCCTTTCCCGCATTCCCTAACCTCTAAACTCTCAACTCTACAGATCCCCTTAAAGGATCCCTTAAAGAGACCCTAAATCCTCACCCTACTAAGCACCAGACAGTATAGTACCCTTATAGCATCCCTGGTAGAATCCCTCATAGTATCCCTTACAGTATCCCTTATAGTATCCCTAGTATCCCTTATGGTAGCCCTTATAGTAGCCCTTATAGACCCCTTTAAGGGGACCCATTCCCTACTAAGCACCACCGGGGAGGAGGAAGGATGGCCTGAACCTGAGCCATGGAATCGGCGGCAGTACAAGTACCTGAGCACTGGGTTTCGGGTTTGGGGTTTAGGGTGTAGGGTTTAGGGTTTAAGGGTTTAGGGTTTCGGGTTTAGGGTTTTAGTGTTTTGTGGGCCCGGGGTTTAAGGTTTAGGCTTTAGGGCTGGGCTTGGGTTGAGGGTTTAAGGTTTAGGGCTTGGGGTTTAGGGTTTAGGGTTAAGGGGCTTTTGAAGGAAAAGTTCTTCAGGAGTGTTCCGAAGTGCTATCCCGCCGTGCTAACGGTGACAACGATGGCGCTACCACCTGACAATAACGACAGTGAGGACTCAGACAAGAACTACAATTCACAGTGCCGGTGCACAAGTGCGGTATGCGATGGCATAGCACACTGTACTACTCTCGCCGTCTCCACATAGGTCCATTTGGCTTCGCGTCAACACCGCCTTCTATCGGCATCGCGGAACGGGCTCCGCTGCCTCCCTATGACTCCCATGTTTACGTGCCTGCTACTGGCCTTCCTGGAGGCAGGTGGACAACGACGGTACTGCTGCGAGACATTGGTCCACAAGATGCTCGATCGCTCTTATGATTTCTATTCTTGGCAATTGCTGCCACGACCACCTCCACTATCATTCTGACCACCGTCACCACCACCACCACCACCACCACCACCGGTGACCGAGATTCATCACCATCGCCATCGGTATACACTGTCACAATGTCGTTTCAAACTGTCTTCATCATACCTATCATCATGTCTGTCGGGAGGGGCATCTCAGGACATAATGTGAGGCCTAAGTCAATCTACCACGGTTTCTCGAGGATTTATACCCAGAACAACATAGAAGCTTTGATACACAGAAGAAGGCTAAGAGGAATAGCGCATTGTTGCACTGTTGTACTTCTAAAGGGATAAGAAAACAGATACGGTTGATGATATAAACCCTGCAGTACCCGTAATGAGGAATATACCATAATTCCCACAGTGTAGGGTCACCAAGGTAATGCAGGATATATATCATCCACCGTATTTTGGGCCCTTTTTTTTGAGGCTTCAAGTTGTGTGCCGAAGCTTCTTAGTGCGGTGGTTGGCATTCGGGAGGGTGGTTCGTGACCGGAACATTTACAGTCTGGGGGCGCAGAGGCTTCGGATTTAGCGTCGGGTCCCTTTTATTCAAAACAAGCAGGGTCAGATACTATAGGCGCCTCAATCATTAGAGTAGGGTGTTGGGGCCCATTGTACTATAAATATAATAAGGCCCCCCCCCAAACAAACAAGCAGTAGGTGATTATTAAGGCCCCTGTATTGCCTCCAGAACTGATTGCCTGAAGACATGGAGTTTCTGGCATGTTTAGGGTCCAAGGATTAAGTGGAAAATGCAGGATTCCGTCCTTCAGCGTTGGCTCACCTGCAAGTCCCAAACTAGCCGGGGAACACTGCGCCGGATCAGTGTTGCAGGGCCACCACTTGTAGCCCTCGGCGCATCTCTTGCAATTCCTCGGACGAAGGAGGAGGACGAGGAAAACGAGTGAGATGGAGACAGACGCTACTTGCAATGCTCCCGACCTGAATGCACCGAAACTTTGTGGGTTCAGAGCGGATTCCGCAACATGCCTAAACCCTAAACCCTGACACGCACGCCCGGAACCGATCATGAAACCCCTGTGAGACCTAGGCACTCCCAAAATTATTGAAAGCCCGTATGCTTCTTACCATTGCTATACCTAAATGCCCCTTGAACCCTAAACCCTGAAACCCGAAACCCTGAACCCCAAACTATCACAAGCGGCCTGGCTTTTGCTGTGATGCTTGGAACCTCGAGACTTCCAGATAAGGTGCTCGACTGTGGCGCCGTTGGGTGGCAATCCCTGCAAGCTGCAGATGTTTATGTTCTCATATATATATATATATATGCATAAGCTGCAGTGATATACTATAACGTGCTGTAATCTGCCAGAATATAGTAGAAGAGAGTATACTCGAATATAGCCTAGTCTAATCTGGTATAATGCAGCTTTTTCATATACTCGAATAGAATATTCTACCAACCAATATGATAGAATTAATATAGTATCATATGTTATCATAGTACATCATATAATGTCATATAATGCCATATAATATAGTAGAATGCAACATAATACAAGCAGCATGATGAAGGGCCATCATCGAAGCACGGTTCTGGCAAACAGCAGCAGCGCCCGTGAAAAAGGTCTAGGGTTCAGAGGCTTAAGGTTTAGGGTTTAAGGGTTTAGGGTTTAGGGGTTTAGGGGATTAGGGTTTAGGGAGTAGGGTTTAGCGTTTAGGGTTTAGGATTTTGGGGTGAAGGGTCTAAGGTTCAGGCAGTCTAAGCGAAGTTTGAGACAGATCAAGATCAAACCTTTGCAGCCATTCTACGAAGCATAAACCAACGGCACGCATTAAGCGGGGAAGAAAAGCCTCAAAGGCAGCAATGGGCAATCCTGAGAACACGGGGCTTAGAGTTTAGGGGTGCCTGGGACTATATACTATGGCAAACTAGAATACACGATAATGTACTACAACATACCATATGCTATAATCTACTATATAATAGTCCACAGCGATCCCTGGAACTGCCTGTGTCGGGACGCAAACCAACCCACCACTGCCACCACCCGGCGTGGTGGTAGCTCGGGTGGTCGCCGGCGCAGTCTGGGTGGTTGTCGCCGTGGCCTGTCCGAAATCTTGAGATTCAGCTTTAACAAAATGCAGAAACCGTACCTAGCAACAAAAGCTTGAAAGTTTTCCATGAATTCACTCTAGTGTACTACGGTGTACCTATATTAGGGCCCCTAGCGAGAATCCAATAAAATGCTTAAGCTTATGTCCTGTTTAGGGTCCCTCATACATACCATCCAACATCCTGTAACAGCCTACGATACAAAAATATAGACAAAAAATTAAAAAATATAGATAAAAATAGTTTAAACAAATATTTCTTATTTTTGCCCCGGAAGTTCTTGACTGAGGCCGAGGCGGACGAACAGTCACAGAGCTGCCCAGCGCAAGGCCATGCCTTTTCAGGGGTCCCTTTAAAAGGGAGTCAAAAGCAGGGCTCTATAATATAGGGGGCCTTAATAATTAGAGTAGGGTTTTGGGGTATGTTATGCACAAAAAAGGAACAAGGAACCCCCACAAACAGATCGGGCAGTGTTGCAAGCGACTCAATTCTACCTCGACCTGTAGGCTACCTCATGAGTCTGAGTCTCTTGGGCCTCTCCGTAGGGTTTTGGGAGGAGGGGTGGGGAAGGTTGGGGAGGAGGAAGAAAGGAGAGTGTAGCGGAGGAACGCCCAAAAGGTAACTATAGTGCTCAAAATCTCCGTTTCATTGCAACCATACGAAAACAGTGGGAATGTCAATGGCAGCAGCTTGCCCATGGGCCATTGCTGCTTTCTTTACCTGCATACTATCAACCATGCGGCTGTTGCCTTCGTTGGATGATTGCTCCTTGTTGTAACCTTGAGACACGCTGTTGTTGAGGGCCTCCAGCAGACATTTCACGATTTGGCTGAGCTTGGGCTTCGGGCTTACATGTTGAGATTGGGGCTAGTAGCTAGATAAGTAGGATTAGCCCACTTAGGGCAATTAAAACCGTACTTCTAAGCTACCTACTAAATACCATGTTCCTCTAAGTAGCATCTAAACCTGCAGCACCACTTCTGGTACTAGAAGGGCCTTACTGATAAGAACAGGATCCTGGGGTGCATTCTAGTAAAAGTACTACAAAGAACCCTCGAAAATAGTCCAACGTTTTGACCCCTAGGATCTGGGATATCGAACTCCACCCGCATTGCAGAGAGAATTCCATCTGCCAGGGCAGCCGACCTGATGTGCTCAACAACCTTTCGTGCTCCTACCTTTCTAGTATAGGGGCTTTCATGGTTACTAACCGCAATTAAGACCTTGAGACGTACGCTCCTACACCCCGAAGCCCTGAGCCTACAAGAAGCCCGGTTCAGTGATTTCAAGGGAAATAGCATCCCCCTTCAGCTTTGACAACGAGCCCTTATGGACTCCAACACCGACACCAATGCCAAGCCCTAGCCGTCACCCTTCCCCCTAGCGAAATCATTGGTTGCATTGCTCCCTTGTCTTGAGTCCTATGTTAGCAAAAGTAATAACAAAATGTCCCAAACCTTTTTTTGCATAGCAATATAGTAGTTACAATAAGCATGCCAAAACTCAACTGGTTTGGTTCGGTTTGGGCCTCGGCAGGCAGCCGAGAGCAAGCCGCTTGACACCTGGCATCGCTGCCGCCTTGTCTCAGGCCGGCGGCCGTTGCGCGACAGCCCTCGGAGAGGGTTTGGGGCTCAGGGCTTAGAATTTAGGGTTTTAGGGTTGAGGGCTTAGGGTTTAGGGCTTGGGGCTGTAGCGTTGAGGGCTTAGGGTATAGGGCATATGGAAACCATCCTAAACCCATATGGGCCAAAAGGTCTGAGGTTTAGGGTCTTGGGCTTGGGGTTCAGGAATATGGGTTCGAGGTCTAGGTGTTATAGGTTGGACAGTGCACAGTGGTCGTCTATAGTGGGGCTACGTTTACGAGTCTTGTATATCTATGCTATAAAAATCATTCAACTGCTGCTGGGTGGGGGCAGTATCCAAGACTTTGCTGTACAGGTTTCAAAATAAGGGTTCTATATATAGGGTGTGCGGGTGCTAGGGGCCATAAAGGGTTCGATTGCAGCAGAAGTATCCAGGGGCTATAGGCTCACATCAGTAAGAAGCAATTACCTATTGAGTCTATTAAAGGCGTCCCTGGAATAGGGTACTACTATTTGATGTCCAATAATGGGTCTCTCTTAGGGATGCAGAGTGCGGCAACCAGGAGTGACGGTAGGGTTCAGAGGAGTAAGAGTTCAGGGTTGAGTTGGCTTTTGAGCCCTTTGAAAATTATTTGCTACTACTGTTTTCTACTAAACAGTAGGGGAAATTTAAAAAGATCCCAAAGGACAACCCAGAGGGTTCAGGGTTGAGGAGCAGGCTTCGGCGGATTTAGGATTCAGAGCACGGAGGCTTAGAAGTCCCAGCTAAAGGAAAAATAAAGAGGGTACCATGCTAACGGACCCCCGCCTCCCCGAAGTTTGCGTAAGGCGAGTTTTGGATTAGTTGCTTCCAGGTTTCAAGGCTTAGGGTTTGGGGCTGAGGATTTAGGGGTTTTAGGTGTTTTTAAGGCTTAGGGGTAACATGGCATGGGGCATAGGGTTGTGCAAGGTTAATAAGAAGCTCACAAGGAGTTTATGTGGGCTTGGGGATTATGGTTCAGGGTGCCTCTGTCCATGGCGATGCGATTTCGAGCTGAGGTCGACCCAGACCCTGTGGGGGGGGGGTCCTGTGTGTTGGAATGTCTTCGTCCCTGTTGCTGGGTGCTCCTTTGTTAATGGGAGAGGGGTTTGTTGGTATAGGGGGTGCCTCATTCTTTGTGGTTCTTATAATGGAATACTACCACTTGCAGTCCATATCAGGGCCCCCACATGCCGTCACATCACAAGCATAGCTTGCGTGTCGAAAACAGGGAGGATACTCTAGCAGTCGAAGAGTCTCCAAAAGCAAGTACCCAAACCCTGAACTCCAAACACTCAAGCCCAGCTGCAGCCGAGACGGTCATGGTCGTAGTCGTAGTCGTGGGTGGCACGGTCGGGGGCACCGTGGTTGGGGCAGCCGTCTCACCTTAGGCGGAAGCGAGCCCGCAAAAGAAAGCTCTGTTCACTGAAGGCTCAAGCGCTGCCGGACGGCCCTTTTTGCCTGGATCGTGCTTTACGCACCAATTCCAGAGGCTTTCTGCCCCACACCCGGCCCACGCACCTGCGCCCTTGGAGCAAGGGACTGAACCCGCAAGATGCTGGAACCCTAGGCACCCGGGGACCTTCGCGCCAGTCTATCTGGAGGCTTCAGGCCTTAATTAAGTCAGATTTTGGTCTTGCCTGAACCCTCCAGGTGTCCGGCTAAGCTAAGATTGAAACGAGCGCCCCGTTCCCGGAACAGACAGGCTGTGCGGAAACACTCCAGGTCTCAAGACGCTTGAAAAGGACATTTAGAATGGACGAGGGGACTCTTCAGGGTCTGTGGCGGTCCCAATTCTGAGCCCCCAAGCCGTTCAAAACTGCTGCATGGCTTCTTCCGATCACTTCTTGGTTGCCACGAACATGCCCTGGATGATCTTGCCCTCCTTGGCCAACTTTGCCATGAACTCGAAGTCCGAGATCAGCTTCTCGTACGCCTTCTCGTCCCAGCCCAGGAGCTTCTTGGCATCGTACACGGCCTGGTGCTTCAGCATGTAAGTGTAGCAGCCCATTGCCGGCGAAAAGCGGCCGCTATTCTGGGCGACCTGCACCGTGCAACCGGCCTTCTCCAACATCGCCGCATACTCCGGCACCGTCGGAATGGCTGGGAAGGTCATCAGCCCCAGGAAGCGCTGCGCCTCCTCCTCCGAAAGGTTCTCACCCTCCATCCAGTCGGTGAACAAGATCTTGCCTCCTGGCTTCACGATGCGAGCAGCCTGATCCACGATGAGCTGCTTGTCGGGCATGTAGCACCAAGCATCCTTGCTGTAGACGAAGTCTGCCGAGGCATCTGGAAGGCCGTTCTCCAAGGAGTTCGCGCAGATGAAACTGATCTTCCCATCGAGGCCTTCCTCTTTTGTGCGGACACGGCCGGTCTCCACCACGGACTTCGTCAGGTCGACGCCCACCATCTGATCAACACCGCAGAGGCGCACCAGGCAGCGCATGCCGCCGCCGTTGTTGCAGTTCAGGTCCACACCCTTCATGCCTGGGCCGACGCCGGCTTTTTGTGCAACCTCCATCGTCGAGGAAGCCCCGCCGATGTCGATCTGCTTGCCCATGACGAGCTCCCACACGCTCCTTACGCTCATACACTCTTGATACTTCAGAAGCCTATAGGGCCTAGGAGAGCATGCGCCCTTTTCGCTATGACGATCATGCAACAAAACTTTGCGGAAACATTATGAAATGTCGCCATGTCGCTGCTCTGGGCCACTGTAGCACTCGGCGACCTTGTCGAAGCTGGCGGCACCCTGGTCGGCAAGGAGCTTCATAGCTTCGGAGGGGCTGGGTCCGTCCTTGGGCGAAGTCGGAGCTATGCGATCGGGCCAAATGCTCGAGCCAGACGCACACCGCAAGGATGCGGAGCGATCAGCGCAACTCATCGAGCTGCTACTGTACAGCTATGTTCAGCAAGGCTTCTGAGCTCTGCGACATGCCTGCCAGGCTGACATAATCGAAACCACAGGAGGGTTCGCCGGAAAGCGGACCCCCTCTGTGCACCCATGACTTTGCTAAGGCACGGCCCTTTTTGCCTGGATCGTGCTTTACGCACCAATTCCAGAGGCTTTCTGCCCCACACCCGGCCCACGCACCTGCGCCCTTGGAGCAAGGGACTGAACCCGCAAGATGCTGGAACCCTAGGCACCCGGGGACCTTCGCGCCAGTCTATCTGGAGGCTTCAGGCCTTAATTAAGTCAGATTTTGGTCTTGCCTGAACCCTCCAGGTGTCCGGCTAAGCTAAGATTGAAACGAGCGCCCCGTTCCCGGAACAGACAGGCTGTGCGGAAACACTCCAGGTCTCAAGACGCTTGAAAAGGGCATTTAGAATGGACGAGGGGACTCTTCAGGGTCTGTGGCGGTCCCAATTCTGAGCCCCCAAGCCGTTCAAAACTGCTGCATGGTTTCTTCCGATCACTTCTTGGTTGCCACGAACATGCCCTGGATGATCTTGCCCTCCTTGGCCAACTTTGCCATGAACTCGAAGTCCGAGATCAGCTTCTCGTACGCCTTCTCGTCCCAGCCCAGGAGCTTCTTGGCATCGTACACGGCCTGGTGCTTCAGCATGTAAGTGTAGCAGCCCATTGCCGGCGAAAAGCGGCCGCTATTCTGGGCGACCTGCACCGTGCAACCGGCCTTCTCCAACATCGCGGCATACTCCGGCACCGTCGGAATGGCTGGGAAGGTCATCAGCCCCAGGAAGCGCTGCGCCTCCTCCTCCGAAAGGTTCTCACCCTCCATCCAGTCGGTGAACAAGATCTTGCCTCCTGGCTTCACGATGCGAGCAGTCTGATCCACGATGAGCTGCTTGTCGGGCATGTAGCACCAAGCATCCTTGCTGTAGACGAAGTCTGCCGAGGCATCTGGAAGGCCGTTCTCCAAGGAGTTCGCGCAGATGAAACTGATCTTCCCATCGAGGCCTTCCTCTTTTGTGCGGACACGGCCGGTCTCCACCACGGACTTCGTCAGGTCGACGCCCACCATCTGATCAACACCGCAGAGGCGCACCAGGCAGCGCATGCCGCCGCCGTTGTTGCAGTTCAGGTCCACACCCTTCATGCCTGGGCCGACGCCGGCTTTTTGTGCAACCTCCATCGTCGAGGAAGCCCCGCCGATGTCGATCTGCTTGCCCATGACGAGCTCCCACACGCTCCTTACGCTCATACACTCTTGACACTTCAGAAGCCTATAGGGCCTAGGAGAGCATGCGCCCTTTTCGCTATGACGATCACGCAACAAAACTTTGCGGAAACATTATGAAATGTCGCCAAGTCGCTGCTCTGGGCCACTGTAGCACTGGGCGACCTTGTCGAAGCTGGCGGCACCCTGGTCGGCAAGGAGCTTCATAGCTTCGGAGGGGCTGGGTCCGTCCTTGGGCGAAGTCGGAGCTATGCGATCGGGCCAAATGCTCGAGCCAGACGCACCGCACGAGGATGTGGAACAAGGTTTGCCGCTTCCAAGATCTCTGAGATCAGTGCAGGTGTTTGCACATTGCTCCTCACTCTATGGTCTTTCCAACATTGGCAATTGTTCCGGTTCCCCTGCATGTGCATCGCGGGGCACACAACCCTGAGACACAGGCTTCGACACACCCGAGGCTGCAAGTGAAAAGAGTTAATTATACGGGAACGGGAACTTTAACTTGCTCGTCAAGCCCCGCAGCCACCATGAAACCTTCCAGTAAACACAGAACGCTCCACTTCCCAACAGAATATCAGACACCCTAAACCCTAAACCCAACAGGATTTTAACAGGATATCAGACATCTGCCGGTGTTCCAGCTTCTGCCGAGCAGCTGGTTGAGGGTGCCGCTGAAAGGCAAGAGCCCACGATGTCGAAAGCTTCCTGGAGGCTCCCAAGAGGTCGTAAGCACCAGAAAGCCATTACGGTTTAGGGGTTTAGGGTTTAGGGATAGCAGCAGCAACAGCAGCAACAGCAGCAGCAGCAGAACAACAGCAGACAGCATTAACCAACCCTAATTATGTGAAGGAATCCTTACGGGGTTAACTCGAACCTGAACTCCTTAAGACTCTGATAAACCTCCCGCTATGAAAAAAAACGAGCCGCATCAACACTGTTCAATCTACCCTTACTTCGAGACTGAAATACCCTGAGCCTTAACTCCAAAGTTTCGGTGTTCCTGGCCTGGCGGTCAACCACGCGAGAGAGGATGCAGCGAGTTTGCTCCTCAAACTTAGACACTGGGCACTGCGTCAATCATGAGGATATTGGGGACCATAACGGAGTACTAGTTCTAGTTTACTCAGACCGACATATTCAAGTTTAACTGAGGTTTCGGGCTTAGTTTGGGGCTTGGGAGGCTTTGGAGGCTCAGGGTTTCAGGGTTTAGGCTATCTGAAAGTGAGCCCTTATTGCATCTCGATGCCTCCTGCGTCTCCTTCAAAGCGCGCTGGTTGCTGAAAGGATCATGGAATTTAGCAATGAGGGCTGTCATTATGGTTTGTATGTTTGTAACTGATATAACCCCAATTACTTATAACCTGACGTACTAGGTCCCATGATCCTCCAAGTACAAAAAGCCCCTCAGTTCAAGACTTCGAGCTGGGAGTTGCACTTTCCACACCGAAGCCTCATAGAGCCCCAGGCCTGATATACAGGTAACTAGATAATACATAATGATGTTCATCATCGTCATCATAAGCATAATCATGATGGTGAAGATCAGAATACTAGTAATCTAACAGAAACAGATATCTTTATCCGAAGCAGAGCTCTGAAAGCTCGGCAGACCCCAAACACACGAGAGTCTACATAAGATAGGGGCTCTTAGTAATTCAAGATAGGGTTCCGCGGTATATTGTACTACTATACTGTGCAGGGGCTATAAGAGCGATGATGCTGCTAATTCTTTAGGCGCCCTAATGTAGAGGCGAAGCCACCAATACTAAACCCGAAACACTAAACCTTAAGACCTGAACCCTGAACCCTAACCCCAACCCTGAAACCTAAACGAAAGCCGGAATCCTCGTAGCTGAGATCGAAGAGATCTTGGCCGCACCCTGGGATGACGCCTCAGGTCGGCAAGGCCCAACGGAACCGGCCTCCTGAAAACTACCCGGAAAGCGCAACATGGTTTTGGGGTTTAAGGCTTAGAATATCCTTCACGAAACTTGCAAGAGTTGGAGCAGCATTGCTGAATTGACTGATTTTCAAACTTGGGCCCCAGGTAGCTTTGAGGTATTGATCCGTCAGGACAAGTCATCATGAAGCGAACAGGACGAGAATCATTACACTTGCATCATGCTCTTCTAAGCGCCTGAAATACTCACAGCAATTCTAGTGTTCCTCGTGGCAGTGGTGGTACTGGTGGCAGTTGGGCAATGATAGCTAGCGGGGCTGGTTTGTAGCCCCTGGTTAAAAGAAAGCGGCTCATGACAAGTGGTTTGACCCCAAGTTCGATCTACTTCCTCTCGCCGATATCGTGAGGGGTGAGAGCCTGGACATGAGGATTGGGTTTAGGGGTTTAGTGGGGCCGGGGTTTTAGAGTGTTGGGGTTTTGTGTTTTGGCCTCAGGGCTCAGAGAGGCTTACGGCTTTACGATTCTAGGATTTAGGGGTCTTAGGGGTCTCAGGGGTCGAAAAAGGGTCTTAGGGGGTCGCAATAGGGTCTCAGGGGTTTGGGACTTAGGGTCTCAGGGCCTTGGGGCTGTTTGGGTGTAGGAGCTCGGGCATCGGAGTGCCAGGAGGGTCGAAATTTGGATGTCGGGAGGCTATTCGTCCGCTTGTACCAGGCAGCCACCGACTTCCAGCCGTATTGCGGGCTCTGGAAGAACCTGCAGGCACTAAAACTACAGAGGAAATCTAGGTTTCCAGCGAAGGCAAAACTTCGGACACGGCCTGCACCTTGAAAACTATGCACGACAGTGGCCACCAGCACCGGTAGCAGCAGCAGCAAGAGTAGTAGGAGTAGTAGGAACAATTTACGAGTCGGAATAGGATCAGGAGTAGCAGTAGCAAAAGCGCAGCAGCAGCAGCAGCAGCAGCGGCAGCAGCAGCAGCGGCAGCAGCAGGTGTAGTAGTAGTAGTAGTAGTAGTAGTAGCAGCAGCAGCAGCAGAGGCAGCAAGGAGGAGTAGCAGTAGGAGTAGTAGTCGTCGTAGTAGCAGCAGCAGCGGCAATAGCAGTCTCACACATGCTGCACAGTTGACCACCACCACCACCAGCAGCAGCACCACCACCACCACCACCACCACCACCGCCATTGCTACTACCACACCACCATCAACATTGCCGGTGCTGCTACCGACTGCGACCAGCAGCACCGCCAACTACCACGGATGCGACCGGCACCTCCACGACAGCCACTACGCTACTTCCCTCACGACCACGACCAATACCAGCACCCCTGCCGGGAGGTAACCCCAAGCCGCCCAAGACGCAAAAAGCCGCAATAACAACGTTAACATGGATACTCACATTATCCTGGCCGGAGTGCTGGAACTGGGACGGAGCGAAAGCGTTGAACTGAGAGAGGTAGTTCCTGGGCTTCAATGCAAGGAATCATGCGAGGACTGTCTTCGCTGATGTCGCCATGTTCAGAGTTTTGAAGTTCAGACTGCCAGGATTGCGGTGCGTGTCCTTCTAAGCTCTCCCATTGGAACCGCAGTAGCGTTGTCCGCGAACGGATTCGGAACATCCACCGTGGTGCCCATGACAAAGCTCGAATGTTGTGGCGCGAGAATAGCACACCAACAATACCTACGGCAGTAAAAAAAACCTACTGATAATCATAACGAGAATAATAGCTATGATGCCCCACAACGCTGTACCTACAATAGCAACTACCGCAAGAACCAGCTATAACAATAGTCAGAAGACAACGTACATGACCAGCCACGCTTCCTCAAGCTTCTGATATGCACAACTATGTTCGTAGTATTATGATTATTATTGTCATAGGTGCTACTGGTAACAGCGTCGTACCCCCAAGTTTGGATTATCAGTGAAAGGAGCCCAGAGTTGGGCCTCGTGATCTAAAGCCTTTGAAAGATATTCGCGAACAAGATGCTCTTGCACCCAATAAGGGAAAGTAAAAATCTCGCAAGGCCTATATCCCTCATTATTGTTGAAAGTCCTGAGCCCCAAAAGTGCCTCTCACCATCGCTGCAGGATACGTATGCTGCTCACCAACCTTTACATAACATAGGACCCTTAGTAGCTAGGCTAGACTAGGGTTTGAGAATACTTGCATAGGGACCCTAACGGGTATATCAAAATTGCTTATTATTCCGACCTCCCACTTACATGCAGGAATACCCGCGCAATGACATCCACCGACACTGACACAACTGAGCATCATCCCAGGGAAGAGCTGGTCCATGTCCTCGAGGTCCCACACCACGGCTTGTTAACAATGAAGGTCTTGACAAAGCTTTCTTCTCAGAAAGGTTCTGTGATACGGCTTATATAATGCAGGTTCTAAAACCAGGGCCCTCCAACAGGGATTTAGGCGTGGTCCCTACTTTTGCTTTAAATCTGCTGCTATATTTTGAATATGCTGCCATTTAGGTGTGCAGCAACAACTCCTGAAATCTATGCCAAAAGGTTTCGGTGTATACTGTACGATAACGATAATAACGGAAGTGCAAAGGAGGCTATACAATAGCTTCGGGCGTCTATATTGTTGATGGTGGCGTTACATTGAGCTGGTCGGTTCGGAAGGCTTGTATGCAGGACGAGACTGTCTCTTGTACAGGTTCCGTGCCCTGTCTAACTTGCAGTGTGCAGGCCGTCTCTTTTTTTTATGTAACAGTAATAAAAACGTAGCAAAATATGTGTAATGCTTGTAACCGTAAGAATACAAAACAATATTCATGATAACAAGAAGCAGAAGAATATACAAATAAAGCAAACAAGACTTTGAATAAGTAATAGCAAGAATCAGAATGACCGTGAGAAAAGTCAACCCGAGGGAGATCATCGCTTGCAAACGCAAAGAAAGATTAAGTCTAAAACTCTGGGCCTTCCCACGGACTGGAAGAGGGTTTAGACTTTGAAGCTTGGGGCTTAGGGTTTAAGGGCCTAGGATTTTCAGGGTTTGGGGTTTACGAATTTAGGGGTTTGGGGGTTTAGGGCTCCAAAAGCCAGGCACCGAAAGACTGCCTTGATTCATTAGGACCAATGTTTTGGGGAGGCTGGGGGCCGAGTGCTCAGGGATTAACATAGGGGCATGAATAATTAGAATAGGGCCTTCGGGGTATATTATACTATAATTAACACAGGGAACCCCCAAAATAGTGCTGGTAATTACTAAAGATCACATACTGGGCAGATGTAGGGTTCAGGGTGCTCCTGTCCTGCACGTTGATCGGCCAGTTGCCTGGGATCAT